TAGGATAATTTCTGGGATATTTTTCTGAATATCCCAACAGTTTAAAGCAAAGTTACTGCGCTTAAACCCATTATAAACACAAACAATGGAATAGGGGAAGATATATCTAGCTGATGAACCCCACCTAGCACGAAAAGCTCGCATTCAGGAGTCCACTGTTAGCTACAATTCACCTTGAAGCATCATGAAAACAAGGCTTGTACAATTGTGTCATTCATATTTCTCTACATAAATTAAGCGTTTAGTGAAGTATAAATGTCTTTCTATAACCTCTTATAATGTTTTTATTCTTTGTATCTCTAAACCTGGTCCAATATTTCCACGAAAAAATAAATTCCTAATATGCGTAAAATATAGTGAAAATACTTCAGTAAAATTTATTTAACAAACAGATTTATAATCTCACATTTTATATTTGACTAGCTTCATATGATGTTAAAAATATTTGTATATTCTAATTAGCAGAATATGTGAATTCTTCTTTTCTACCATCTATACTCATTATATCATCCAACTGCGTCACAAGACAAGCCCTCACATGGAATCCTCAAGGCCAAAGGAAAAGAGGAAGACCAAAGAACACATTACGCCGAGAAATGGAAATAGACATGAAAAAGATGAACAAGAATTGGATGGAATTAGAAAAGGAGGCCCAGGACAGAGCGGGTTGGAGAATGCTGGTCGGCGGCCTATGCTCCATTGGGAGTAACAGGCGTAAGTAAGTAAGTAATACTCATTATATATGACTGATATTAAAATAATCACAACGTATGAATATTTATAGACAAATTAACAAAAGCTATCAGATGAGACTTTTGATGCCTTTTAGCACTATCGTACTTTGTAGTTCAGTTTGATAATATAAATGAATACATTTTCGAATTGATCATTTTGTACATCAAATATTATTTACTTCACATAAATTGGTCATAATGGTGAACATAAAGAAAGATCATAAAAAGATATAATGTTCTTTTTAACCAATAGAATATGTTTCTCATTACATTTTGTTATGATTTGTTATTCGCTTGAATGCTATTACTGATGCGTCTTACTCAACGAACGAAGGATTAGTGACTCAGCGACTCGATAGCTATTCTGGTTCGTTGTCCTCAACTCTGCTAACTCGATCAAGAAGTCTGGGTAAGGTGTAGAAGTGTATTCTGCAGACACACAGCAGCTAACAAGTCAAGTCAAACACACAACTCACGCGTATTTATACAATATTTACAATCGATATTGTCATAGGAAAATTGTAAACACTAATCAATGAGTTCATAAATTGACCTATTTGCACATTAATCGATAGTTCATCAATTGACCTACTTGCACATCCAATTGATAGGTTCATCAACTGACTGCTATACAAACATTTAATCGATCAGTTCATCAAATGACCCCAATACAAATATTTAAACATTTAATCAATAAGTTGATCGATGCGATAAAATTTTAAAAAATATGAGTTTGGGGATCTATCGTCCCCAACACATTTGCATAGAATTTGAACAATAAACAAATCAGTTTTGAAATAAATCTACTCAGATAAACAGAAATTGTCCTTATTCAGTAGGATATGAATCTTTTAAAACTATTTACAGAACTGAAAAACAATTATAATCATTAATTTTTAGTCAAAATAAGTAGCATTTCATTCATTATGATTTTATGTTTCATTATGAGTGTACGCTTATGAAAAGTTGTAAACTAAGTAGAACAATTATCGAGTACTCTCTATTTCCAAATATTTCTTCAATTCATATTAATTTTCATAGTTGAGATCATGAGTCAATTAAAGCTAGACCACCATGGAAAACCTGGAAGCATTGGACGGCCGTTTCGTCTCACTGTGGGACTCCTCAGTAGTGCTGATCCACGATCCTGCCTCGCAAGATTCGAATCCAGAACCTATCAGTCTCGCGCGCGAGCACTTAACTACTAGAACACTGAACCGGCATCTGTGTGCTAATGTCTAACTTCAACTAATCCATGAAATTGAGCGACACATCCACCATTGTTTTCACATTAATTTGTGAAGAAAAAAAAATACTTTTTTTAACCATATAAAACCTTTACGTAATATCGCTCGAAACACATCAAGTCAGAAACAGTAAAATGAATATGGATATTTAATGAAGTATGATTTAATATTGAATAGATACACGAAAATGGTAATTTAGAATTCAGGTGAACAAATAAATAAATAAGAAATTTTAAGATAATATTGCATGTTATGAAAGTTTCTATTGTCAAATTGACAAAGTTTTGTGTAAATATTAGTCATTGAAAATTATAAATTAACATAACATTTTTATTTATTTAAATCTACAATATAAAATTTAATAGGATAAGTTGAAAGATTTTAAATAGTTTGGATATATAGACATTTATAACAAATTGTAACAATAATCAATAGAATGAACTGATCAGTTAGTAATAAGTCTGCCAGGGAAGTCCTACTTACTACTTTCTCGTGACGGAGGTGTTGTTTATGAAATTAAGATGATGAAAAGCGAATGTCCAACGCTTTAACCGGGTTGGTGGACAAGGAGGATCCACTAAGGGGAGTTAGAAAACCCTGATTCCAAACCAATGGTCCACATGTACTCCAGCAACCTGAAGGAACAAATGGGGTATGAACCAATTGTTGGTCACCGGCTACTATGGGACTGCATCTCCTGACGTTGCTCCACTACCTCGTGGACCAGACCTTTATGTCAAAGGCTCCGGGTGTGGCCTCCTAAGAAAAGTACCTGCTTCGTTTTGAGCACCCGGGCACATATCTATTTGGTGACTCCTTGTACCAATGTTTAAATAAATAGCTTAGTTTCTAGATTAGTGAAAGTACAGTAGCGATTATAAATATATTATACGTAGGTACTAAATACGATACATAAAATCTTTAAGATAACAAAGGATTGTACCAACATGAGATCATAATCCCAAATCCAATTTTATTTACAGTGATATAACAGTTCTATCGCATCGAGTAAATAGTCAATATTGAAACAGAATGATCCAACTTGTTTTTTATGCGTTCAAGAAACGATGGTGATTGCATAAATCAAATTTAAGAATTCGTGAATGGTAGGTTCAGAGCAATAGTAAAACGAATGATAGATAGTTTGCAGTGAAAGGATTATGAAATATTGGATTTCCTCGGATTAAAATATCACTCTTAATTAGGATAGAATTCTATAGAAAACAGTACGTTTTGCTCTTCCAGTTGGTTATAAGTTTAATGATTATCTGGAGGTGCCAAAAAACGTACACCTTAACTAATCTTATGTTACTCTACAAATAATGACGAAGTTCACTGAAATGTAAAGTTTATCAGACAAATGTATAACGCTAACAAATCAGTGTAATTACAAACCATAATGGTTAGGCCGTCATGGTGCAAAGTTTATTTGCCCGTTAATGATAGGGGAGATAAGTGGAAATTCAACCAGATATATTGAGATTTTTGTCTAGCTGATTAAAATTATCCCTAGTTGGTCAAATTATATTGTCATTTTTAGTTGCATGCTACATAGTTTATCAAACGACATGTTACTAATAAATTCAACCTCTCATATTTCCTTTATTTATCACCTTGATGCAGAAGAGCATCAAGACAAACTTTTTCCAGTGATCAAATTCTTTTTACCCTAACCTATATATTAACAGGTGATGGAGTGTAAGATTTTATACCAAAAGTTAATAACAACATTTAATATTAGCATAGCGTATATCTTTAGCTCTGAATACCTGTGGGATTATTTACGTACAGTGTGAAGCTACTAAACAGAAAACATACTCTCTAAATCAAGAACTTTTTAACTGTTGCTAATGTTCAACCCAGTTGAAAAATAGGATTAAGGCTCAGGATTGAAATAACTTTTGTCTCAAAAGTGACAAAAACTACGAAATGATTAGTTTTAGTCAATTGTCCATCTACACTAAAATTTCAAAAACCTCTATCAGGTTGACAGGTGCAAGAAGATTTACTAAGTAGTGTTCCTAATATTAGGTGAACGGTAGGAAATAAAAGTTGTATAAAAAGATGGCCAAACAAAACAGAAACCTGGGTGCCATCAACCAATGGAAACGTCCAATAGATTGCCAAGAAAAACTGAAAAGTTTCACTTTAGAAATTACTAAAAAATAAAAGTCATCAGGGGAACCTCACTAAATGAAGTTCCGATTACTGACTAGATAGGACGGCAATAGATGCCCGTTAATATCAAACATTTGTTAGAAAGTGAGCACACTGGGTTTCATGGTCATCCTAGAAGATGAAAAATGGATCGGATCAATGAATCGATTAAATTTAAAGGTTTTATTTGACGTCTCATAATAAGTGGCTATCTCACTTCTTCGACTAATACATGTAACCTTTTTTAAGAAAGCTTCGAACCAAAAGTCGAGATTCCGAAGTTCTTTAATTTCTCAGAAACCTTAACACTAACACCCATATGAAATACAGTTCGATTAGAAGCAGTAAGTTCGGAGAAACGATATTCCACGGTGTGACCTCGTATGTGCTAACCTAGAATGGGAAACTAATGTGAACCAAGTGGATACAGTAGTAAAAATAAAAGCGTCTAACCAGATAGGAAACCATAAGCACGAAACTGTAGTTAGTTTATACATACCCTGTGTACAGGTATCGTTTGTAAGATAGGTACTTATGAACATCTTTGAGAGCTTGTCAAGCTATATAAATACTAGATAATTTTACTCGATTTGAAGTTAACCAACATAAATAAATTTTCTTGAGTATGGAAACTGGCTCAAGACGAGTTAAATTGCAGGTCATAACTATACAATTTGATAACTTTACTTTCCGAAGTATTTCTCATGAATTTCCTTGCCTTACTTACTATTAGTGAGTAGTAAAACAAACTACTCGTTATTTTAAGACATTACGGACAACAACTGTTTGACTGTTCAGAAGTAATTTTCATGCCCCTCATTACCCCCCCCCCCAAGAACTCTTAGTGAGAAGAAAAAGCATTATGGATAAAACTTGAGATAGTATGTATCGAATAGATATCTCATGTGATACATAAAAAGACGACAACAAAATCGCGGATGACATGTTATGTTAGATAAAGAGATATATGGGTATATATTTTAAAAATAAATAGAGAATAAATGGACCACATGAGGGGACTAAAAGGAGTCAGTTCAACTCAATATACATATAGATATTTATATCGAGGGCAAACAAACTCAAAGTGTACGACAAGTGAATGAAATTTAGAAATACATAAAGCGTATCCAGAGCCAATAATAATAGTCGTGAACATATTAAATGTCAATGTAAAACAATGAAGAGGAATACACAGACCAACTGTTTCTGGAAAATGTAATGATAACTACATTGTGTATGTGTGAAGAAGGAAGAATATATATAAGTATCCGCTTTGTTCTAAATCTTAATTTAAAAGGCAAAATAAATGTGGTTCTCGCACAGATGCACAGAATAGTTATTATTATTATTATACGACCGGATATAATTGTCATATAAGGAAAAGAAACAACCAAATAATGATAATAATTATTTAATTAGTTAAATAATAATTTCTCGATTAAATGCATCGGTATTCTTTGTTGATTAATTAAATAATTAGTTAATTTAGAATGAAATGCACATTCATAAAAACAATTATTTACATAGATTTTTACAAGTATATAATGCATGTATATAATGGGAATGATTCAGAGTTAGCAATGACATTTAGTCACACACATATATTATGAAGCACCTAATAATCTGTCTCTTTTTTCTTACTTCCAAATATCACTGGTGGTAATTTAAAAGGAAGAAGATTCTGGACCACGATGGATATCACAGAAAATGATTATGTAATCAAGCAAGCTAATAATAAAAAAAGTTATATTTGTTGAAATTTAACTCCTGGTGTTTCGCATGTTTAGCAACATAATCCAGTTAATTTGACCAGATTAACTGATAAATTTCCAAAATCGTATATCTCTATCACTAAAATAAAGAAAAGCAAACAAGAACAAATTAATATAGACGCATGCAAAGAGTGACAAAAAAAGACAGATAATCAATCATTAGAAAGTAAACGAAAAACTTACTTGCCAGCAGTGAATACACGATCTTTATATGTTCTCACACAATTAATAGCCCCATCGTGTGCATTGTTAATCTCTCCTAAGCAAGTACAATCTTCCACTTTCCAAAGCTTAAGTGTACCACCACGACAACCACTAATAAGATTTGTCCCATCGTGTGTAATACCCATACCCTAAAAAAGGAAGTCAAGACTAAGAAATTAGTTTAAAAAAAAACTAATTCAAACATTTTATGTTGATCCAATAGAGACTAGTATAACCTAATTATCAATTGGAAGACTAAATTAGCATTGCTAAAAGTTACTCGAAATCCTTCAACACAACACATGATTAAGTAGGGTTAGCTAAGTAAAATCAAATGAATAGAATTATATGGAAATAATCGAGAAAACTTTCGTCAGAAGAAACAAAACAAAACACTTACCTGTATCCAATCTTTATGAGCTTGTGCAAGTAATACTTCTTGGCGACCATTTTTCGCTAAATTCCACTTTTTAATTGCAGCATCTCTTGAACCGGAAAATAAAATATTCCCATGGATAACTAGAGATTCTATTCCATCATAATGTGGTGGTTCCAAATCAAGAGTAGGTGTGAGCAAACCAGATGTCGTTGAAGAAACATCAAACACTTTTATGTAATGATCCTGAAATTGAGCACAAATCGAACAGTCAGCATTTACTTAGAAGTTATTAAAGCCAGAAAAACAAAACAAAAAAGTTCGCTTGCCAAGTGTTAATCCTTTAAGGTGAATTGCTTCATCAAAATTTAAGAATGATAGGTGAATCTTTTTCATTTGAGAAGTTGAGATTAGCCTAAATAAACCAATCAAGAAATTTTTGACAAAAATGCGGACAGTTTTATTGAGAACCATTCAGGTATTTCAGTTGTGATGTCGATAATATACATCAGATTATCAGTGAATATAACGAGAATAAAGTGCAGCCCGCCGAATACGAAACATAACCGTCGAATGTGTAGAACAAACATAAGTTGTAAATCAGTTGCTAGATGTATAATCGAACTATTAGCCACGTGTTGCGGGAACACTGAATAATCGAGGTTGAGGTCAATAGCAAAATTCCGAGCAAGAAGCCTAAATTAGTTGATAAAGTTTTGAGTATCTGTTGACTGAAGTGCCTTAAATTAAGTAACACATGTTTCTAGTTACAGTTTACATTAAAATTCAGTACTGATCGGATTAGAATTACGTTGTGGGAAATCAAATGATGAGTTAACTCAACTATAAGGTTTTCCAGAGCTGGTATGGAGTTTCCAAAGCTATTTTTACAACCCAGAAAACAGTGGTTAGAGATCTAAGGGAAGGATAGGTACAGACTTGATTGCAATGGCTTATATGTGTTAACAGTTCTCGTAATCTTTAAGATGTATTATCTTTTATACGTTACTTTTTGGTGTTGTGCTTTCTCTGAACAGGATGGTCTAATCAATCAAACTATTCTCCATTTGTGGGGATATCTCATTCACGTGATATTATGGTGTGCGACTTGAACTAAAGATATTCCCTCATGACTCGATGACAGAGTAATATAAAATAAAAACTACATATCCAATCAAACCCAAAGGCAAAAACATACAACTCACTTTTGAACCAGTAACTACGGTTAATCTAGGTTCTGAATCAGCGGTTGGAGAATTACATGGAGTTTGGGCAGCAGCCAATACCATTACAGGGGCCTGATGACTACCGTGTAGTTTTCCTACACAATAAAATCGTCTTAAATCCCACAATTTTACAGAATTGGCAGTTGCTGAAAACATTAGATGATTTAATGATGGATTAGATCCGCCAAGGGTAATATCCATAATGTTCGTTTCGCCAGGTGGACAAATATTTTGACGACGCATAACCTTCGTTTCTAAAGAACCTTCCTGACTAAGGCCACTCGATCTTTAAAGAAATCGCAAAGTATATATTATTTATCATGGATAAACAGTTGATTATATTCATTTTGTAAGAAAATAAAATATAGTCAAGGTAAAGTAAAAAGACTGAATGACGCATTAATGAACACAAGTTGAAGATTATATTTTGTTGTCTAAGCTTAATGACACGGGGTTCGAACCCAATGGCTAAAATGTGAATGCCCCGAAAACTACATATAAACAAATGTTTAATAATACACCACTCGCATAAAAGCAGAATTTTCTTTTATCTATTTCAACAGTCAGCACAATTTTGTTTGCTAACACCACCATATCATGAAAGTGAATCCATTGTTGTATAAATAATTTGATAATGTAGTTGTTACGATTCATTCATTATCGATCTTCGTGTTTAGTTTGCAAATGATTACTGTTTTAAATTCTGTATATAAATGAGAAACGTATCATAAATATATTTTGAAAAACATTGTCATATACTTCATTACTAGAAAAAGAACAACAATTGTAGTCTTTAAAACCCACTAACAAATAAATGAATGTTTCATTCACAATGAAACAAAATATTGAATTTCAACATGGACAGATAAATGGCAGTACTACAGAAATAATTCAATTTTGTTCAAGAGATGAAATAACATGTACGCGTTCAATAAATACTGCCAGAAGCATGATAGTAATTTGATTTTCACTAAGAGAAAAAAATGATTAGGTGTCGAATATCACAAGAAATATTTCTGGATATTCTGAAGACAGATAATAATTTAAAGAAATTTAAAGAATGTTTCAATAAAAACCGATACGCTTTCATCTGATAAGTGATAAATTACGATTAGTACACCAACAACAGACGTGTTCAATAATAATATTGTAATTTAAGAGATTACTAAATTGTATCAGATACACACACTTAATGCGAATGAAAGAATGAACAAGAAAGAAAGTGGAAAAAACTATGTGTTAGTACTTTCTAGCTTTGTAAACAATTACATTCGAGTTGACTTCTTTACTGTTTACATAATACTTTGGTTTTACTGATATTTCATTGAAATGCTTTTATTACTAACAAATCTTGGTAAATACAAATAAAGTGATTACTTATTTATTTGAATGCGGCTAATATCCTTCATGGAATGAAACGTATTCTTAATTTACCAATGATTTTCGCTGAAATTTAATGTTCATAAATATTAAGAACTATATTAAGGGAAGTAAGAACACTTAATTTTAATATTACAGTACCTCGGTAATAAAAAATAAAGAAGTATCGGATAAAAATAATCAGTGAAGGCTTATGCTCACTAGTATCTAGCTTTGAGAGGTAATTCTCGGAGTTCTAGTGAGAAGCAGTGACCAGTGGAGTTAAACCGTGCTGGGTGTGAGGTTGCCACTCATTGAGAACAATGGAAGATGTGAGTGCAATAACGTGGATTGATTGAAGTTAGATAATAACACCGGTCGATCCCGGCTCAGTGGTCTAAAGGGTCTCTCGTGAGAGACCGAAATTTCAGGGTTCAAGTCCCGCGTACTGGATCAGGGATTATTATTATTACTATTATTATTACGAGTGACTGTAATCACATTTAAGGTAGCAAAAACAATTTTAAAATCTTCAAGCGAATCAGTCAGTAGCCTCTCTGCTTTTATGTTTACAGACTTAACGACACAAAGCAGTAAGTTCGTAATTTTTCAGTGTTATGTTAGATATAGTGCAATAAGAGGCTTTATCGCTCGGCCCTAGATTTTGTGAATGGAAATAGAATAAATCAACCAGATACCAATGTGCGGTTTGATAATTTATTTTCACAAACAGATTTTGTCCCGGCCTCATTCGAGGAACTTAATAAATTTAGGATCACACTGTTTGTCATCTGCCAACAAATGGTAAATATACCAAATGAAATCGAAATGTTTTGCATAAACTTACAGAAGATAACACTCCGATCATAAGCAAACCAAACAAATGAGGGGAGCTAACTCTAATGACCAAAACAGATTACATTGATAAAATGAAGTGAATGTGGAGTGATCCGACTAAATTTTAAAAACTCACTGATGTTAAGAATATAGAAGTGAAAACAGAGAAACTATTCACTAATTCGCTTAACGAATTAAAAAAAATAAGAGAATAATTATTTCAACAATTCATGACTCAATTTATAAATTAGTTAATTATTGACCGAGATATTTATCTTGAATATTTATTTCGGATTAAAACAAGTATGTCATTAACATTTTATTTAGCGATTTGATCGTAACTGAATGAAATCAATGTTTGTAGTATACATCTAAAAGAAAAAAGATTTAATTTAGGTATGCGCACATATTACCTTCAAACCAAAGAGTAAATTACAACTTACAACAGGGTACGAATACATCGGCGTACATCACGACGATCCCAAACTTTAATGAAGTAAGAACAAACAGTAAAAATCAAATTTGACGATGGACACATTCTAACTTTAGTCACATTATTCGGATGATCATGTAATGTGTCCACTTCTTCCATAGTAGCTAAATCCCAAATTTTCGCAGTACGATCTAGAGAAGAATAATATTGGGATGCACAATTATTATGTTAGATAATAATAAAACGTTTCCCTAAGTTCTCTGACGTAGCTTTAGTACAGTATGAGGATTGGAGACAATATTCAGTTACTTAAACAACAGTAGGTAGGAAAGTCCTTGGTGAGGGAGGGATCAACCGAAAATATGAGATCAATTCATGACGTCATTAACTGTTGGACTAAGCCATAAAGGTCGGTCCAAACCATTTGTTTAAGGTCCGTGAGATAACCACGATCAGTAGACGGGAACAATAGATGACATCCATCAGAATCATATGTAGTGGCCTAGATGAATTCACGTTTTTCTCCTAGATCTTTGTTTTGAACATTTTTTCATACATTCCTCATTTTCGAATCCCATTCTCCAAGGTTGGTCCCTAATTATTATTATAAATCATACTACTGTTACTTCGACTCTATAGCTAATCGTTTTGTTGTGACGATGTAGTGTGACAAGGTGGGCTCCAGATTACAAACTGACATATATGTCAAGCTTTATACATAGATCCCGGTCAAGAAAAAAAACTTACATACTGTTTAAAAAAATAGTCTGACAAAATCACTAAGATACACAAACATCAATTTAAGGGAGGTGTGTATAAAACTTAATTACTAATATATTTAGAACAGAAACACATAAGTAAATCTAAATAATTAATGATTAAATAGTTTTACACTGAGCTTAGCAATATTAAAGTATGGGAAATGAATTACCTTTACTACCAGTTATCATAACTTCATGAATTACATCAATATCGAGAACGGCGTTTGAATGACCTTTAGCTATGTGAGTACATTCAATTGGTGGAGCGAAACCAACAGACTGATGAACTATAGATGAACCTGTAGTATTCACGTTAGCAGAAATATGACAAGAAGTACCATTAGATGCATGCATTAATTGAGAGGTAGAACATGAGGTGAAAAATGCAGCCAAAGGTTGATTCGAAGAGTTTCCAGATGAACTATTAATTGGGACGGTTAAAGTGGTCGAACAGTGACTAGCTGATAAAGGTGCTAATTGATAAGATTGATTGGAAGCATTAGAACTTGACATTGAATTCATGTTAGTGACGCTGGATACCAAACTTGGATTTATTTTAGACAAAGGTTGTATAGAACCTCTGAAAAGTCAGAAAAAAAGTAGCTTTTATCAGTAGGAAGAAAGTCAATTTTTATATTAAGAACAGTAAAGTTAATTTTATTTAGAGATTCCTATGACTGAATAGTTTTTATTTGAACTTAACAGAATAATGTTTAAACAAAAATTATTTTGGGTATATTTTCGCTTACAAAGTGTTATTAAATAAAATTTAGAGCAAACATTTGATTAGAGAGAGGATAACTCGAAAATGGAAGGAAGCTCTGATACCTGAAAACAACGTAGATTAATGATATCAGTTGAGTATTTTGATGGTTAAAGTTAGATTCACCCTTGGACATTAACTTTAGAAAAAGTCTTGTAAATATTTGTCTACCTATCAATAAAACAAATTTCGATAGGACACGACAATAAAAAAGTACCACATAAACGAAATGAGAAGAGTTACACAATATAAAATAAACAAATAAAGGGGAATGGCAGTTGATAAAATCAAACACACAATATAAATTACAAAAAAATGGAATCTGTTTAAAGAGCTGTACTTTATCTTTATGCCTACTTATCATGGATAGGTTGATTTTTGTGAACTTCGACAAATATTACATTTCTGTACAGAAATTTTTGTATAGTACGTGTTAGCGGGATATAGATTGGATTAAAGCATGCTCCGTACAGGATTGTGTTGGGGCATGCTGATTGTCTATTTCGTAACCAATCAGAGCTAGTGGATACTTGGAGAAGAATTTGAAACCTTCGTATGTAAAAATTATAAATATACAAACGTTTTTTGATTGTGACTCCTACTTTCTTCTACTCTTGTTACTTGGAAATATTATTACGTTCTTGTTCAACCGTGTTCTGATTTGGAAACTTGTAGAGTGAAGTAGTGCTTAAGAATACTAAGCAATATGAATAGCTGGGTCGTAATAAGAGAATTCATAATGGTACTCAAAAACATAAATGTTTGCTCAAAGTAAAAATAACAGTCACTATACTATAGTAACATTCAGACTTACACATACTTACTATAGCAAATATTAAAAAAAGAACTGTGCATTAAAAAGTTGGTAGGTGTGAAAAGAAGTTAGTCAAACAATCTTGATGAAACCAGTCGAGACAACACATTTAGGTCGTTATAACTGGCTTGTTTACCTTTTTATTAGTAATCCCTTAATCTAGCACAAACATTACATAATAGTATAAAAAGTTTAAGGGAAAATGAAATTAATGTTTTTATAAAAAAAGAAACAAACAATCAAATAATTTTCTATCGTTAATACACTTAAAAGCAACTCCCGTTATTAGTAAACAAATATTCATAGTCAATATTAGTTTCTATGTGATTTTTGTTTGCAAATTTCTATAGTAATTTTGATTTGTGTATGATATTTCACTTAATCAATAGATAAACATATGTATATAAACAAATAGACACTTCATACACATAGTTCCCTTTATTATCTTAAATAGAGCAAGAACAAAGATTGGTGCAGAATAATATGAATTCATTTTATTTCGTTAGGTTCTCATCAGCTGCTTACATCCTAAATTATTTGAAATTCAAATTATTACAGATATTGACATATTTATACATAAGAGTGTGAATAAGGATCAATACATGTGTATGATGATGTAACAATAATCCCCACCCTTTCTATTCATTTACTTCTATTTATTTATTTATTACGTCATTCCCCATCTTCCAACTCTTTCTGAAGTTTAAATTACATCATACATAAATGATTGGTTTTAATTCATATTTTCTTTATTACTATTAATCTATTTTCATGAGTTCTATTCACTATTTCAATGTTCCAGATCTTTCCCTTTCTAACTTTATTTATTTATTCGTATCAAACATTTTATGAGCTCATTAACTCTATCTGAATATTTTCTACATCATCATACACATGTATTGATCCTTATTCACACTCTTATGTATAAATATGTCAATATCTGTAATAATTTGAATTTCAAATAATTTAGGATGTAAGCAGCTGATGAGAACCTAACGAAATAAAATGAATTCATATTATTCTGCACCAATCTTTGTTCTTGCTCTATTTAAAATAGACACTTGTTATTTTGGTATAAATCTTACTTTGTATTACAGTTGCACGAAAGACAATATTAGATCTTGATAGTAGCCTGTGCAAAGAATATGGTGTGTGTGTGGAGTCGTGGCCATAAAAGTTATTTAACAAAATTTAAGACATATTAATCTTAACAACCTTAAAAATACCCTCTATTTTTGGCAAAATACTTGTCGTTATTTTTTTGTGTACATAGATAATTTTGTGGAATTCAGTTTCTTAGCTTGTATCCAGGAAGAGAATTGACGATTGAGAAATACTATTAAGCAGGACACGTTCAATGTTTTATTTTTTACTGACACATAAGTTTGACGGTCGTTCTTGAACTAGCATTATATCACACACTTCATATATCCTAGTCAGTAATTTATTTAGTAGTTAATTGAATAGGACTAATTTAGTAGTTAAATAAATAAATCACATAACTAAACAGAATAACTATCATAAAATGATATCTTTAAATGTACATAGAATAAAACAAAGGTAAGCAAATCGAAATAAAACAATAGCTAAAGATAATTAATATTAAATAATAAATTTTATAAATAGTAGTCACCTGCTTGGATTTGGTGAATTTGACATTCCACTAGTTAGTCGATTAAATACATCATTGACTGCAGTAGAAGAACCTACTGAAATTACTTTATTATTTGGTGGACTGATCGGATCATTAGTTTCAGTTGACATGCTATAGTAAATGAAAATAGAAATTTCAAGTGAAACTGTATGATATCATTAGTTTTAATAAATGATTTGGAATTTACAATAATTTAAAATCAATAGTTAAACTTTTTTTTAAAATTAAGACAATTTTTGTTATGTGGACGAGAATAATGAATGGTAACTGTTGGGATCTGTTTCTGAACTAAAACTTTACATATATTTTTATTGTATAATTGCTAATTAACTACTAAGCTATGTATATATTCCTATTATCATAAGCTCTTAATTGACCTATTGGTTACTGTTACCAAATTTATTATTCTCAAGTTCTTCTTAATCTATTAGTCACAGTTCTTCATAATCACAGCTACTTTTGGCTTGATCTTGTACAAATGTTATTTTCTATTTTACGGTGTGATGTGGTCTGATGTGTTTGTATATAAACCCAGTATGCTTGAAAAATATGGTTCGTATCGCGGAGGCAAGATCGGTGTTCCGGATTTAACAGACAGGACTAGGCGGAAAAAGGATCAATCGGAACTCTAGGCTGACTGAATAGGTGCATGCGTCATTAGTTTGGTCGTATAAGTTAGCGTATCTAAACTGGCAATCGTATTTTGCGATAATCGTATAAGCCAAGGACATAACATTTTGTGTGTATTTGAAAGTAAATAACTTGCATCTTTGAAAGGTGCAACAATTAAATGTTTACATAACAAAATAACTATATCAAAACTATAAATAAAATTTTATTTGGAAACAGACGAATAAAATATTGAACTTGATATGTACCAATGAGTAGTGTTAATAAAAAATCGGTTAGTGAAATCCTTAGGGTAAGAAAATCCTGAATGTTAATAACTAATATTAAATGAAAATAAAAGGAAAAGTTACCTATCAGTATTGTTAATACTTGGTAAAATGAGAGAAGTTGACATTGTATTAGATCCATTACTAATGTTAGTACGTGTGGAACCAATTTGCGTGTTTGATGCACCAGAGTTTAAATTGACAGATGTCGCTACACGTCGTTTAGTTGTAGGTGACTGACCAGCACTTAGGGGGCAAGTAGGACGAACAGTAGATGAATTATTCGGTAGGACACATGAACTGTGGGCAGTGCGAGGACGCCGATGTAAAGTGGAACTAGGTGGAGGCATGGAATCACAAATTGACGATTGTGAAATTGTTGAGAATGAATTTGATGAAACACCAAGCACATCTTCAGTTTGTAGTACACGTCGTCTAGCCTTGGTGGAAGAAATTTAACGGGAAAATTAAATTTCTTTTAAGAAACGACAGGGAAGAATTGAAAACAAGTATAAGAGGTGATAAACTTTGTAATTCATCATGAAATAGATCGATGGGAATATCAGTTCATTAATGGACAGTATCACAAACCTTTGCACTATTTTAAGTACGGAAAAAGCATTTAAAAAAGTGAATGAGTGAATGTAGAATGAGTTATCTCTCAAAACGATAGGGCAATTGTCATCAAATACACAGGCGGAAAAAAACGCTAGACTCGTAGTATTGTCACTGAAAACAAAATCGTTTATATTCACCTTTGTATTGGTTGTTTGAATATTCCCATTGATGTTTAGGACTGTAAGTGATCAGCCTCTTATTGGTATATGTGCATACTGTACGTATTGCCTTAAGTCACAAGTATTCTAAGCAAAGATGAATAGTGGCTAGCAGTGAAATTCTGGATGCGCGTTTCGTTCTATTTTAGACTCATCAGCTGGATGTATCTATATTTCAGAGTTGATGTTCATTCCGGGATCTTAACCCAGTACCCGTTCGCTTCTGCTAGCCACAATCCATTTTTGCTTATAATACTTGTGACCTAAAGCAATATCGAGGCAATCCGCACAAGATACACGTATGACAATAAGAGATTGGTCAATTGCAGTCCTAAACATCGATCGGAAAATTCAAACAATGAGTACAAAAATGAATTAAGCTTCACCCCATTGCACAAGCGAGTTGCTATCTGGACTCAGTAGCTAAGTGGATAACACAATGGCGGTTGAAACGAATGTAACGGGTCCGAGCCCCAGGGTGAATATCATATCTGGGATGCAAGTATATCCACCTATGGAGTCCCAAGTAGGACGAAATATGCGTCCAGAATTTTACTGCTAGACACCATCTGAAATATTTTATAGATTATTAAAACTCCTATTGTTTGAGTTGGAGTAATCAAATATGTGCAAACTTGTTCTGTACGGTTCATTTAGATATTTGTAATTTAGCACTTGAATGGATTAGTGCAACTATATGACATTATTAAGTTTGAGGGACTTTTTAGACCACCTGGAAACTTTTGTGTCTTCCTACGAACCAATCCGCGCGCAGCTAAACCAATTTAAAAATCCAAGTAATACAAGTTAAATTTCTGTTTTTAATGAGCTAAGATTGTTGGGAACTAAAATATTATTTCAATAGAGAAAGTGATTAAAGGTTGCTGTTCAAATGTGTTATTTTCAGATAACACTTAGTTTTTAACAATGTAAATTACTTTTACACATCTTAATAGTAGGTTTACAGAAACAACACAGCTCAATGATAGAAATATTTTCTTCTTGGTGCTTTGAGTACAAGAATCTCTTAACTTTTGTTGAACAAATATTTCTCATACACCTGATTCAATCAATTGCATAAGCCTGAAATAAGGAACTAAATATTCAGTTAATTGTGCGAGGCATCTAACTCTTACAAGTTAAATGAAAGTTAATTGTAGGTCGATATATTCAATCCAAAATTATAAATACTTCAAAAGTGAGTATTTTTTTAGTTTTAAAGTCAATGAGACAGAAAATATAGACAACGAAAAAGATAAAGGGAACTTCATAAAATGTTAAATTATATCAAAGTACTGTAAACAATAGAACACTAATGACACTTAACATACACTTACTTTGCTAATAATTCCCTGACTAAAACCACTACTGTTGACACTGAAGGGAAAAGAAAGATCGTAAGAATTAGTATAACAATACAATTTACATTGAATAATTTGCCAGAGAAAACTTACAAAATGTCACAAATATTGAACTAGATATTGTATAAATTTAATCCACAGAGTAAATACTAGTAAAATCATCTAAACACAGTGTATATTTCACAAAAATTGAAAGTGGAAAATACAGTTTTTATTCTCTAAAAATATTGGCTTTCAAACGCGTTATATAATCTTTTATCGAATGACAATTGATATCTAAAATACTTGAGGAAAGTAGGACTCAATAATTTAAACACTAAATTAAATTACGAGTTAGGTGATTGTGTATTGCAATGTAAGAGCTTATCGAAGTTTCTATAGCCTCCCAAACAGATAACTAATTATCCACTCAGGTATTTATTGTGAGACAGGATTATAAACACTGTGTAGTTTACAGCTTAGTACAAAAGTCAATAATTCATTAAAACTTCATGAACTTTCCACCACTTAATAATAATAATCTAATGGGCCTAATCTATAAAAATCATTGATTAGACTGAATTAAACAGTACCTAGTTATAAGTGTATTACAAAAATCTGAAATATTAGGTCAATATTACTTTGAATATATACGATATTAGTTTACAGAATCATTGAAAGTTGGTATGAGCAGTGTCAGTAAATGCAGACTGCTTAGTTGGGACTCCTTGGGTAATTACTATGATTTGATATGTTGTGTAGAACGGTCTGAAATAGGTACTGCAGATTTGTAAGTGGTTGATTTAGTGGTCACTGAGGTTTATTTTTAACCACGAGGTCACAGGTTTAAGTCTCGCACCACCTATTTCTGTTCTGACAGCTGTATAGTATCACGGAGAAGAGTACATGATAAATGAGTTAAAATTGGTTGAAATAGTTTAGTTGCTTTGACTTTTTATCCTTCAGAAATCTTGAATTTAGTATTATTTCATAGTTCTCGACATCATTTATGCTTCTTGAACTACATTACTTATGTTCAGCTCTACAGTTTTTATTCTCTAAAAATATTGGCTTTCAAACGCGTTATATAATCTTTTATCGAATGACAATTGATATCTAAAATACTTGAGGAAAGTAGGACTCAATAATTTAAACACTAAATTAAATTACGAGTTAGGTGATTGTGTATTGCAATGTAAGAGCTTATCGAAGTTTCTATAGCCTCCCAAACAGATAACTAATTATCCACTCAGGTATTTATTGTGAGACAGGATTATAAACACTGTGTAGTTTACAGCTTAGTACAAAAGTCAATAATTCATTAAAACTTCATGAACTTTCCACCACTTAATAATAATAATCTAATGGGCCTAATCTATAAAAATCATTGATTAGACTGAATTAAACAGTACCTAGTTATAAGTGTATTACAAAAATCTGAAATATTAGGTCAATATTACTTTGAATATATACGATATTAGTTTACAGAATCATTGAAAGTTGGTATGAGCAGTGTCAGTAAATGCAGACTGCTTAGTTGGGACTCCTTGGGTAATTACTATGATTTGATATGTTGTGTAGAACGGTCTGAAATAGGTACTGCAGATTTGTAAGTGGTTGATTTAGTGGTCACTGAGGTTTATTTTTAACCACGAGGTCACAGGTTTAAGTCTCGCACCACCTATTTCTGTTCTGACAGCTGTATAGTATCACGGAGAAGAGTACATGATAAATGAGTTAAAATTGGTTGAAATAGTTTAGTTGCTTTGACTTTTTATCCTTCAGAAATCTTGAATTTAGTATTATTTCATAGTTCTCGACATCATTTATGCTTCTTGAACTACATTACTTATGTTCAGCTCTGCATCTCAGCTGAAGTTATTGCCTCTTGTCCTCTTAATTTCTACTGTCGCTATGATGTGATGCGGCGATACAAACTAATAAGTAATTTCGCCAATTCATACGTTACCTAAAAATAACTAATTAAGTAAGAGTTAAAGTTAAGTTTTACTATCAACTGTGTTAGCTTGACAGATAGAACCCAACTGATTAGGGTTGTATACTTGAAAATATTACGAGACCACCTAAAATCTGCTAACGGAACGAAGGATCAGCGACACAACGATAATACAAGCTCAACTTTTTCTATGCGTCCCAGCCCTGTTAGCTATAGGGAGAAGACTAGGTTCAGATGAGTGAAAGGTATATTCCTCGAGCAGCCAGAAGAACGAACAAACTAACCAGAAAGGTTCGTGGATATTTTTAAGAGGGCTCTACTCAAGTCAAATCAAGCCATGATCCCTGGACGGAAGCACGTATGGTCAGAGGACTAGGTTAGGTCATGTACGAAGTAGAAGTGGCAAGAGACAGGTGTACTCGACACGGAAACCAGTTACGGAAATGGTTAGACCCAGATCGCCCATAGAAATAAATCTGCCGCTCGACATACTGTTGGATACTTTCAATCTATCCACAGTCCCTGTAAACGAAGAAGTACAAAAACATATTGATCCACGTTCTAGTAGGTGGTTACTTTGACAACGGCGACAAATGGTCACGATGCAGATGGACCCCAAGAAAGTACGCTATCAAAAGTGGAAAGTGCTGGGGATGCTGGATCCCCAGAACTCACTTTGTAAACGTCTTATTTTTGTAATTTTACTTTGAAATGTATATATATATATATATATATATATATATATATATATATATATATATATATATATATATATATATATATATATATAGATTTACAGAAACACGTGACTTGTGACATTGGTTAGCTTAATAACTTGATTGCAAATGAAAACCCGCCAAACAAGTATCTTTCTTACCAAGTATGATGTTTCTGCCGGTTGCATATAGAGTGTAGTACATGTTTGGTGCCTAACTGTAACTTTTTTGCTCAACAAATTCTAAACAGAAAAACTCTGACGTATGTATTAGTTTAGTATTGCTTCAAAGGATAAGAATGAATGATAACTGACTGCTTTTTACATTGAATTTTGTTTTTTATTATTGTTTAGTTATGACTCATTGATTTGGATGAAATACTCTGCCATCAAATTAGAGGTTAACGCCTGTTTTATAAATGCCTTAATATAATCAACTTAACGTAGAGTTGGGAATACAGACATATTTAGTGGCGTACACTGTTAATGTTCCGCAAATACAATTCACGTAATGGAGACACAGGTTAGGGTGAGCCACTTAAAGTGTCATATCCCAAAGAACATGGAACAATAAATATAACAGTAGTCATTTTAGCTAACTAAAACGACAATGTGGAATTTTGACATTCAATGATTACAAAGTCACATCATCAACTAGTCTATTCAAATGAAGTCACGCAAATTGTTTTACCATTTTATACAAATTATTTGAAGGTGAATATGATATTCAATTCTTTACCACATAATACAAGTATTTTCATCACAAATAAATGTTTTTCCAAGTGATTTACGGTCATTTTATTTATTATAAAATAATACTACATATGGGTGTAACTGACTCGATAGAGGGGTTTATTAACGTGTAGACAAACAAGAAATCAATAAACTGGATATAATGCAAAACTTTCATATTCATCAACACCAAACAGAAATAACTAGGTAAAATAAGACAATTAATTGTAAATATTGAAATAGGAAAATTGATTAGAATATAATTTATACTAAATTATTGTTTTTGAAAACGAAGAAAGACAATATAACACTAATAATAATAACAACTTACTTATTATCTGAGACACTGTAACTACCACTAGAACCAGGCCCCTCTGTTGCTTTTGAAACTGAAACCAAGGTAACCCAAATATTGAAGACAATGTTTTATAAATTTTAAGTAAACAAAAATTTCAGTAGTCATGTGACTAGTTTAACTTGGAACTAACTTTATATTAGAATAGCCACAGAGAGTAATCTAGGCTAAAGGGTATATATATATATGCTTTCAATATTTCGGGATAAAATACAATAACAATTTTAAAAAATCTAAAATGAAAAATGAATCAAAATACATTCAAGAATTTTCACTGACGAAAATGTTAAGAAAAGAAAATCAGAAACACCTTGTTGAAAAGTTTAACTACAAATTATTTGACCTGAATATTTGATCTAAGAAAATGGGTGTTATTAAACACTATTTAGCCGGATTTGAACATAAGAGAAGGCAATTGAATTTCGAAAGCTATTTATATTTTATTAGTATGAATAGAAATATTAGCACCAAAATATATGTATGCGCCATACAATAAAGATCAGAGTGTAAAGAAATAGAGAAAGGTGAAGTGAAAGCAGTGAGTGAGTAATAATGAGAGCAGTTCATTTACGAAAAAAATATAACCAGATAGGAATTTTTCGGTTAAAGTAGTTCCTCTCATTTACATGAATAAAGTAAAAGAAAGTCACATCAGGACTGATACTAGTTTCCATTCTAAGCCACTTCTGATAACGCCTCAAGTCACTGTATCTCTAGGGCTCTAACCTGGGAGTTTTGGAGAACCGATAAGTGCTAGTCCTGGACAGTTTTCTTTTATACCAAGACACCATGTCATACACTGACCACCTCCACTCTAATCTTTAATGACGTGAAATTCCCTGAGAAGATATTAGTACTACATGTACGAGCCACCGAAGTTAGTATACCAAGATGGTAACCGAATGAATTACCGTCACTGTGTCCGAGCTCACATGGCAGAGCCTCTACATTACAAACATGGTGTTTTCGCTAAATGCCATGAACCCAACGAACAACGACGTCCAAACAGAGAGTCGCTTAACATCCTGAAATCGGAAAGGTCAGGTTTCACAAGCATACAGCAAAAGTGCTCTCACCGAAGCTTTGTAGATTCGACATTTTACAGACAGACTGACATCACGAAGGCACTAAAGATGCCCCATATTGATATAAGCTGCTCTAGTTTTGCTTATATGTTAATTGGTCTCATCACTCACGCCACAACTAACACTTATGCAGCCACGCAGATGCACGAACTTCTCGATTACTTCTTACTGCCGCCTATCAAGGAGTGCACATACAAGATCTTTCCAGTCTTGTAAAAGTAATTTTCCCTTAGAAGGTGCAAAGCACATTCCCGTACTTACGAACATTGATTGTCAGCTACTTGAGTGAGGATTGCATGGCTAGGGTATTATTGGACAGTAAGACAATATCATCAGGTCGGAAAGGCTTGACTGTCAGTACAAAACTAGGAAATGGACATTTTTCTAAAATAATCTCATTGAAAACTGTCCAATCTTTTTTGACACAGTTAATTTATTTTATGTATTCAACAGTTAAATTTGATTCATAGTAAGGACTACGGTTACATTGAACAACTCATAAACTTTCTTAAAAAATACCAGTATACAGAAATTTCTCACCATAAACAAACAATTAAGTAAAATGTTAACTGATAAAACAAGTCTGTGATTTGAAATTATGAATTACATTGGAATAGAACTTTATCAACTGGAAAACAACGACTCTTTACAAATCAATTAAAATTATCAATATGGAGAACTATGAAAATGTAAAAACAAAGGTCCAAAATCCCACCATAGTTGATGAAACTTTAGAGACAATTAAAATGATCAACACGCTTAACAACTTTACTTTCTGTGACCAATATAAGCAACGACACAAACCAGCATTGAAGCCACATTCTGCATTTGGGAGGGAGAAACGCATCCTAAACATGTGTTCATTATTCTTCAAGGAGATCAGAAGACTATATAATGTCAGTCTTTGCCGAATAAAGTATGTCATTTGTGTATTTAAAAATGGTAAAGGAGTCCCCTGGAAGGATACTAGTGTCTGAAAAGTCAGACGAAGAAATCCTTGAGAAAGTGAGCAATCCTGATGAACAATAATCGATGTTACTAACTGTAACGACAGTTTCCTAAAAACTGTACCTTGTTAATAGAGTTCGGTATGGTTGGGATGTGTGACTTGAAGAAAAAATAATATTGACCATAAACTACACAAGGAATCCCCTATCAGAACGGTAGAATCCAATATCATATAATATGCATTGGACGATATAAACTCATTACTGATGATGTCTGAATGATTAAATAAAATGTAGAAAGATTTCTAGGAAAACCTATTCAATAAAAATATGAAATGCTTTAAAACGGCGCTATTTTTCAGAAAATAATGAATACAGATGCATACATGTCTAGTCATTAATATGTTAGCAATGAACTCAGCGGGAAATAAACTATTTTTCTTACCACATTTTGATGAGTTCGATAATTCTATATTCGCATACATTGAGTGGGACATATGGTGAGAAATGTTAGTGAAATTAACTGAATCCTCTTGCCACTGGCTATCATCATTCTGTATACCGTCTGAAGAATCTTCCGAGGAAAGTGGTGCCGATAATACAGCACAACCACAACATTCACAGCCTGTGACATTTGATGTTCCATGATATGGGCAAGAATTTGTCCTTCGGATTAAGCGCTCGTTACCAGAGAATATTGCTTCAACATTATCTGATGATACTCCAGATTGCTGAATTGCTAACTTAAGCATTTCTAGTTCTTGTTCTCGTTCTTGTTCTTTGACCAACATAGTAGCCCGTAGTTGGTTTTCATTCTGTTGCAACCGACTGGCTAGTAGACCACGAGAGACAGCTGTGTCAAAAAGTTTGCTAAGCAGAAAGCGTGCTTCAGTTAACGTACAGCTTGAGAATAATGCATGAATATTATTTGACTGATTGTTACTTGAAGAGAGATCTTGTCGTGAAACAATTGATTTTGTAGGTTTATTTTCAGTGATCTTTGATAAATTAGAACCACATTTTTCAAATTCAATAATACTAGCTTGACATTCCTGTATAGCGTCTTGAACAGATTCGAGTTGTGCTGTAACATTTCTTATCTGTTAGAAATTAGAAAATTTACATGCATTCACATTTATAAGTAAACAACCTCGTTCAGTAGAGATGACGACAAATAAATGAAATATGATAAAACAATAGAATAAAAATTTATAAAGCTTACTTGTTCATCAAATTCAGCTAGTTTACTTGGATTCTCGACTTCCTCAGAATCATTGTTTGCATTTTCTTCATTGCGAGCTCTACGAAGTTGTAAACGTTTTAACCTTCGTCCTAAGCATTCACGTTCACGAATCCACGTTTGAAGATCATGTTCTAAACGTGCTGACTTTTGAAGGCGTTCAACATCAGCGTCCAATTCTTGCGACACTACAGCCCATTTAACTTTTGCAGATCCAAATAAACGACTTCGATTAAATGTTGAACCAGTCAATGAAGTTCGACGAACTGGTTTGCTTAGTGAACTCCAACCTGATCCAGTTATTCCTATTACACTTTGAGTCATGCGATTAGTAAATGAGGAGGACAATTGTCTCTGTTGTTCAATATTCTTACGTTTGAGGAGATCCAACTAAAGAGTTTAAATAAATAAATGTATGGTTATGAGGAATCTAAATCGAAGATTACCAACTGGGAAGAAAACTAAGTAACAAGAATATTAGTTTACTCAACAAATTTTTCCACATTTTATTTAAACAGATAAACATGTGCGACTATGGCAACTGTTTGGATATGATAACTATCCTTAGCTATTACAAAACTCCGTTCAATCACTGTATCAAACTAGTTGTATTACCAGACTATCAGTCATCAATCACTCAGGTGTAAGCAACCTAGAACTTGGCAAATATATGCTGCAATTCGGTTTAATTCATCACACCATAGCATCAAAGCCGGATGAAATTATCAAAACTCTGAGTGGTAGAAGTAGTAACAGTATCAGTAATAGCAGAATAAATTAGGCGTAGATAAAATGATTGGAGTGGAAAGAATGGATTTACAAAACAAGAATATAAAAACAATATTAAAACTCAAATTCAAAACAAAGGCAAAGCGTGAATATATCGAGTCATATTGCCCATCGGTACCAACCCGTAATTACGACCCCAACCTGGTAGTCCATACCTACTTTTTTAAGATTTTTAGGTGCGTATTCGAAGGGGGGGGGAATCCACTCCTAAAATGAGTCTCGGCCGACTGTGCTCTGTTCCCGTGGCTCCGTGTGTATGTTTGTAAGGATTAGGAAACACAACACTATTTGTTCAGAGTTTCTCCTAAAACGAAAACTAAGAGGAAAAAGGAGAAATTTTTCTACTGAAAGCTGCAAAATCTTCTGTAAAAAGACAAATGTTTAAAGGCAGTCGCGGTATAGATGTGATAGGCAAACATTTTAATGGTGCTTTAGGAACTTTAACACACCAAACAAATAACGATAACTATTTGCTACAACTATGATTATTCTTTATTTTTTAACACGTACCAAGTTTAGGTATAGAGAGAGACGCTGTCTAACCTGGCGACTTATGAGATTAACTATACAATATACACAAATAGATGATATCACCATTACCAATCGTCACAAAAGATAAATAAAGGACGCATGTTGTTTCTGAAGCAAACAATTAGACTCTAATCATGGTTCAGTGAAAGCACATCAACAATTAAGACTTATGGAACGTAAAAAGAATTTAATAGGAAATCTTCCGAGCCATATGCGAGATAACCCATGGTTTAAGACTTAGGGTGATATGCCCCAAAATTCATCACAGCAACACACTTGTATTCATTTATTACTTTTCACTGAATGTTTCACTTGTATTTATCTTTTGTTTCCCCATTCTTATTTGTTACATTATTATCAACCACTTTTTTGTTAATTTCCCCTTACTAGATCGATGAGATGTGGCAACCTAAATTCATATACATTTGCGTTACATATCAAACTGTTGTGATCTATTTAGTTGAAATATTGATCCTATTATTAGTAAAAAGAAAGGATTGGAATGAAACAGGAATAGTCTGGAGAATGAAAAACTATGGTTTGAAAGAAGATCAATACAAAATAATTAATTTTGAACGGGATAAAAACGATAAAACATCGCCTGGATTATTTTGCCTGTAGGATAAAAACATCAATTTTATGGAAATTAAACTGAATGGCCAAAAGAATATAGTGAACCAATTTTCATTCCATTTAACAATAAGCAAATATACAAATGGAAATAGACTGTTCAAGATTAAAGTACCGGGACCAAATAAAATTGCACAATTTTTTTAGGCTGAGTCACTATATGACAGAACTTCACAACCACTAATAAGAGTATGAACACTTCGTGATATATTTGCTTAAAGTTGATTAGCGTAATGTGGTGTGTGTTACTTATGTCTGTCGACATAAGTAGCGTGTAACACCATCTGGAAGTGGAAAACCTGGCAGCAGAAGGCTAAGAAGATCAAGTTGAAGAGAATAGAAGGGAAAATAAAAAGGAATTGTGGATTGGAAGAATCACACAGAATGTGAAGTACAAACAACGGAAATTTGCAAATGAAGTATTCAGGGTATGGTTCCCATATTTTACAAAGAGACTCTGTAATTTTGTGTTTAAATACAATCGGTTGTTCCCACTTGAGTTCTCCATCACTACAATAAGACACAAACCTTTGAGAAACCAGCTTTAGATATGAGTAAATGACTAGGAATCCAGTCTTAGGAGTATATGCATTCATCTTTCAGAAAATAACAGAGGTATATACACCAAATACTCTTGATTTGAAGTGGAAAATCTATAGAACACTTGTGTTGGCTAACAGGTGGTATTGATTAGTCAGTGAATCATATTCCACAGAAAATATGTTAATTAGATTATTTCAAACGTTAAAGTAAGTTTATTAATCATTCTTTATAAGTTGTCACATAGTTTATTATATCTGTCGACAAAAGTCCGAATGTGAGATCACAAACACATATCAGACTAACAGACATATCTAAAGATTGATGCAATAGGATTTTTCTGTAACAAATTGAATCAATATGCTTTTTGATCATTTGTTTTACACCTTAGGTTTAACACAGCACCATCTAAATATAATCTCTAGAGGACACATGAAGTACAAATATCCTAATACATGAGTTGTATGATAGATTTCACGATAAATCAGTCCACAGTTTTAAATGGATGCATGATTGACCGATGACATTTTATAGAGTAAAAGCAATCTTTAATAATTCAAATCGTTCATCAAGAGAAAATGTGGAAGTGATTTAAACTAAATACATATTCCCAGAAAATTTCTAAAAACTTGACATTATAAGAAGATTATTGTAAATTATTACCTCAGCTTGTTTCTGTTGCAATGCACGATCTTTAGCTGAATGTGCTGCTTCCAATGATCTAATTTGATTATCGGCTTGTGATTTGGCTTTTTTCAGTTCCATAACGCGTTTAGCTGACAAGACCTCTAAATGACGAGTACGTTGTGTTTCCTCCCTTAAACGCTTGGTTAACTCAATTTTGTACCGACGTAGTTGTTCCAGTTCTTGCCTTAATTGGCGTAATTCGTCATTTTTTTTAGATTGTTGTCGTTCTAGTCGGATTTGTTCCTGACGAGCTAGATGGAGTTGTGAAACTTCCTCCTAGATATTAAGAAAAAGTCAAAATAATGCATTTGATTAGAACATTAACTATATTGTACTTTATTTCCCAGCTAACTATGAACAATAAAATTATACATAAAGCTGTTATAAATGCACTTCAAATATGAACTTACTTGTAATGCAGATAGCTTTTTTTCGAACTCTTCTCGAGTACGCTTTAAACGTTCTTCACCAGTATGTTCGATTTGGCTTAAATTAGCCATTACCGAATCTCTTTCATGCTCTGTTTCTTTAATACGCCACTGGAGACTTGTCATTTGTCGTTCGTAATGATTTTTCAAATGATCAAGTTCGGCAGCTTTAGATTGTAACTCTGCAATTAGTCTTTGCTTAGAATCGATTTCTGATGATACGTGAGCTAAACTCTGATGTAATCGAGCTTCCTTTAATCCAGATGGAAGTTTATTACCTGTCTGTGTATCCATACTTGTTAAAATATCATTTTCATCGTTCGTATCTATGACATAAAAAATAAATGAATAATGATAGCATATAAAAACCATTTTTGTATATTATGATATATAATAACCTTACCTTTTCAACTATCGATGTCAGAACCCATCATCTAGTGTCTTTAGATTAAAAAACGTCTAACACATCCATGTGAAAAGGATTTACATACTGACGTATAGACAGACTTTTTATCATGTTAAATTACCATAATAACAAAGCGATAACTGAATTACCAGAAAATTCATTACAGAAAACAGTATTTAATTTATTAAACAGATGAGTTCAGAATGATTATATAACTTTTTAAAATTAAACTGGATTAACAATTTACAACCGAAACCATACGAAATATAATAGTACCATTACTATATATATATAATTCCTAGGATGAAATTTACTTGAAATAATTTACCATCTATATCAGTGTCCGAACACGAATCCGTGAATTCTGTAGCATCATCCATTTTATCACGCTGTTTATCCCCTGAATCATTACTGGATATACTTACGTTGCCTAAAAGAGTTTCGTCGCCCATATTACCACTTTCAATCTGTAAATATAGAAAGAAAAATTTTTTTAAAAGAAAACTTAAAGGTAGCTTTTGAAATTAATTGAATGAAAAGTGAACAAACTAAACAAAATAATGAGATTTTGAGCTCCGGCAAAGAATTCATTTGATACGACCTAAATGCAGACGAATAGTGACCTTTTAAAATATCAATATCGAGAAAATCCGTCTTTGGCTTAACTATTCTTGAATCATAACAGAATATCACCACTTATGTACAGCACCCAGGAGGTAATGCGAAACAAAACGCTGGTGTTAGAGTGATAGGTTGATTGTTGTGCGATGAGCAGACCAACTACAATACATAATGTATAATTATTAAGATTGATGATTACGTAACATCAAAGTTTAACATAACAGTATGCTGATGAAAATTAAAATAATATAACAGTAAGTATCCTAGTTTTATCGTTAAGACAACAATTTCCTATGCAAATACCAAGTAGTAAATATTTTAAAAATACAGAAGAGGAAAGTTAATTGAGGAATTAAATTGCCAAGATATATTTTACCAAAAATTTTACAAGATGGTTCAAAAGCAAAATATCAAACATAATATTAAGAACTGTTGTATGACATTAAACTGAAGAGTTATAGAAAAACGAAGAATGAGTACAATTAGGTTACTGGAAGTTATTTCAAGTCATATAATTTACGATCTTTGATAGTAGACCATAACTACAGTAAAGGCTCATTTAAGAAAACCATATCTACCTACGTGACTCAGAATAATATGAATTAATATTTTGATGATATGATATGTTTATTGGATAAAAAATCATACCGAAATAAGCATTACGAGATTGAAGAATGTTTTAAAAAGAACGTGGTTACAAATTCTTACGACACGGAAAATCAGTGAAACTCTAATTATGTATTCTGATAATATTCATACTATGCCAAGAAAATATTTTAAACGTTTAATTTTTACATAATTTATATATATGAATAATAGTCGTCAGTATTGACAGAGAACCATGATTACCATTTACTATTTAATTGCAAGTATAATACCTACCTCAACAGATACACCAATCAATGTTCCAGTCATTTTATTCTCACGGTCTTCATCATCATCGCCAGTTACGCCTCCATCTAAGTCATTGGCTAAAAATTTATGCAGTCTTCTTTTCTGAGAATCAACACTCTCGGAGTGTTCCACATCAGAATGCACATCAACATTATTAACTACAAACATAGTAAGAAAATATTACGTTAAGTAAATATAAGTTATTAGATAAGCAACTAGACATCGTATTTCCATAGGTAATCAGCAGACTTATGCAAAACTTTAGTCTTAAATAGCAAGAGAATGCAATATAGTCAAACGGTTTTAATATTATGAGTGAGGCAGTTGTATGTAGAAAAAACATACAACAATAACTGTGTAACAATCTATAGGACAGCATTGGGCAGTAATTTAATAATAAGAATATTATTTATGATATCTAAAAGAGTTGAAAATTGCATACCTTACGTTCCATGACTTAATGTAGGCCACTTTTATTTACTCTGAAGAATTGGCTTAAATTACGTCACGAAATGTCAGAAATACAATTTTTTGCTCATGCGGATATCACGAATAGTATACTTATTGTTAATAAATGGTGAAGTTTGATTTCTTGTCTAGACATATTGAATTATGTTAAGATTCAAATTAATTGTAAGGTGGCGAACAATATGACACAGTCGCTCGAACTGGACAAGCACTAAAATCTAGTGTTTGGAAGTCGGATGCCTTGAATCACGTTTATTCCAAAGTAAAATTGAATAGGTTAACTAAAGTTCCACTAGTAAAAAATAACAGAAGTACTTACGTTTCGACTTAAGAGGTTTACGTTCTTCACTCTGTGTATTGATTATCTGCCTCTTTCTGCGTCGCCGTTTGCGCTGCCTGTGAGAATAACTAGATTCAATAGTGTTATCATCCACTTGTACTTCATTACTGAAGTAAGTATTTACTGCAGATAATCCCGCTTCGGCAGCAGCTAACATGCTAGAATCAAGGTCTGGGAATTCATTGCTTGTGAAGGCAACACGGTTCGGTGTAAAAACTGAATCAATTTTTGAACCAAATCGACGTTCTGATAAACGACTAATTTGAGCTGGTGAAGCATGAGTGTACGGTCGTTGACTGAATTCGACTAGTGCCTCAGCTTCCGCCAATTTAGTGCTAAGAAGCAATACAAAATATTTCAAGGTTCAAACAAACTAATACAAATAGTTAAAACAATAAGAAAATAACAGGAAACTTTATAAAAATTATTTGGTTTTACTAACTAATGCTTTTCAGAAGATAAATTAGTTAAATTAATAGGGACCACTATGAACTGAAAATAATTACAATGCAAGAAATCTCTATAAGCAAAATGAGAATTTGCTGAATTGCTTATAATAATAAGATAACATATATGTAAATTCCCGAAGAGTAGGAAATTGAATTTCCGACTTTTCGCAGTCTGGTGCCACTTGCATCATCTACGAATATTTATTTATTCTCTTGAGAAGCAACTTACAAAAAGTCACGAAACACCAGAAATCCCATTTTCTAATCACTGGAAAATTACAAACAGATTATTAATCATCAAAAGAAATCTATACGTTTGAAATGAACCGTGCAAAATTATAGTCCGAATAACTACTAACCTTACACAAATTTAGGTCAATTTCATGAAACAAAAGTGTCCAAAATATCTTGTGGAACATTAGTGGGTAGCCCTTAAAGTGTAGAGAGTATAAATGAACACGATTCCAAGATAGAAATATTTGAAAATGGAATGGGAATAACAAACAAGTTATTTGAAGGTAAACAGAAAACCTTAGCTGATAAACTGAAGATTTCGCTAGACAGACGACAAAGCGTCAGAGATAAATCTTCAGGACTAGGATATGGCAACAACAAAACTTAATCTAAAACTATGCAGATGTTTTGTGCCCCACTTTTTGATAGCATAATGTAGATAAAATGTTAGTGAAAAAGTGAGACTACGACTTTCAGGTGCCACATTTGAAAAGGCATAAGGAAAGGACAAGACTTTTTAGCAGGATCGACTTTGAACCTAAGGGCGAAAGAAAATGCTATCCAAGTCGTTTAAATACACTTACTTATCTGAAATTACAAAGCCATAATAAAATTTTTTGGACTAACAATCAAAATCCCAACAAATAGAAAAAACCTATGGAAACATACCGTAGTTCTTCCACTTCCACGGTATACTTTTCAACAAGATGACGAAAATCTTCTGCATCAGCAGAAATGAGACCAAGTGATGATGACCTATCAGATTCTACCTTGCTTGTTTGTTCATTAGATTCATTGGTATGTGCTGCTCCAGACAACCGAAATTTCAATGTTGCCCAAGAACATGTCTCTTGATCGGCAAGTAGTTGTGCATTTCGCACCTAGAGAAAATAAAAGTTAGACAGTTATCCACCATAGATGATGGACAAGGCACAATATCATGAACTGACTGAAGTTAGGCATTAGCGCGGTTAGATGCCGCTTTAATGCTCTAGAGATTAAGCGTTTGGCACTAAGATAGGGCAACAATAAAACTTAGTCTAAAACTATCCCGGTGTGTGAGTCCCATACTATGATGAAACGGTCGCCCAGTGTTTCCGGGTTTTTAATCTTATCTTTGACATTTTATTTTTATATGGCTTACATCAATTTTAGTCTTGAATTTACTCAGCTGCGACTAAAAATTTCATTTCGTTTCAACGATTTTCAGTAAATGAGTGGTAGATTTCTTTAAGGCATTTTCGATTGTGTAGCGTTTGAACGGTTATTATGTAAGCATTAAAACTTTTCAAGAGATAACATGACAAAAATTGAACACGAAAAATCTCTTACACATTTTTTTATGCCAACTTAAAAGATAATTATGTTTCGCTATTTCACAATGTGTGATAAAAACTATAGAAGTTTCCTGCAATTCAAAATATTTTTTATCAGAAATTTAGTTACAGAACTATGTTGATGTCAAAATAACTAAAAACAGTTTTAAAGCAATTGCTCTTCACGATCTGTACGATTGACAACACAAAATGTTGAAAACAATATGATTCAACAGTTCATGCAATATATAATAATGATGAGAACGAAAAAATGTGTTGCGTTATGTAGACCACCTGAACGTATTGTTTTAAACGTGTTCCATATCCTACAGGAAATTGTCATCATAAAATAGCTTACATGGGAATAATAGAATTCGGGACTTGTAACATACATCACTTTTAATAAAAGACTGATTGATAACTGAAGAAATGTTTAGAAACTAGAGACTGCTAGGGATACATGGAAATATTAAACATAAATACTTGATATTAACATGATAAAATTCAAAAGCCGAATCCAATGACTACTGAGAAACAGTAATTTTGAAGTACCAATAGAATATAAAACAAACTTTAATATTAATTTTAGGGATGGAAAGAATCTCGTTAAAATTATGAGGAAAGGAATCTGTTAGCTAGGAGAAAGATTTTATGATCAAACATTACTCATACAGCTTATTAAACTAGTCATTGACGAGTATGGGTGAAAAAAACCCGAAGAAAAATATCCAGAAAATACTATAAACAAGAAGTTATAATCTATCATTAGTGTATCTAAAAGGGATAGGATGTCAGGATATAAAACATTTCAATACTCGATTTAAAACCGGTTTAAATTTGTTTAGCATTTTAAATTAATAATGACTGCACCCTTAAGAAAAATTTCCATAAGACCGAAGTTGTAAAAATCCGCGTAGAATCTGGAAAGACAGTGCTCATCACTACACCTTAAAGATATCATAGTAAGGATTCTAATGCTGTCTTATGGGTACCCATTTTTCTAGACACCAGATCAAAATTCATATGTGAGTCGTTAATGCTTTATGACTAATATTGAGTTAGAAGGGATGGAATCAAAATGGATGACTCAGGGGCTGTAAGCTATATGAATGAGATCTCTAAGTACAATGCACCCAGTAATTACATGAATTATTTGTTTTGAAAATAATACAACAGTCCAACTTACTTTTAAAGCATCTACAGTAACAGCCAATGCTTTAACGCGAAGACGAAGTTTGTCATTTTCAGACTGCAGCATGTTGATTTCACGTGATAAATCACTTGAATTTCCCGAATTATTTGTTACTGCAAGTCGTCTACCCTTAAAAGAGAAACAACAGAGAATTTGGAGTCTAAAATGATTAAAAACTAGGTCAGATAAACACCAAAAATATGTAGAAAAGTAAGTTTAATTGTAAAAATAGAAAGAAGAAACAACCAATGTAGAAGCTAACCAGTTTGAAATAAAAACTGAACTACTTCGGAAGTATCTTGCCTCAGAAAGAATTACTAAAAACACAATTCAAATAAAATGCTTAAAAAAATATAAACAAAGCTATTCACGGATACGAATAATAAACACGATAAGGAATGCAAATTATTTCACACAACCATGCATATTTCGTAGTTAAATAAGTAAATTGATAGGTTGTTTACTCCATATTATTTTATTTTTTATTTTAACACATAGATATTGGTACAAGGAGACACTTGAGATGGTGGAGAATACATATACGCCACACAAATCTCATTCGATATGTGTGAGGGCTGTGATACTGGCCGGATGCCCAAACCGAAGCAGGTGGTTATCTTAGGGGGCCACTCCTCGAGCCTTCGACCTGAAGGTCTAACCCACAAGGCAGTGGAGCATCGTAAGGAGATGCAGTCCCATGGAAGCCGGTGACCAATAATTGGTTTATACGCCATTTGTTCCTTCAGGATACTGCAGCCCATGTGCACCATTGGTTTGGGATCCGGTTAAAGCGCCAGACATTCGCTTTTCGTCCTCTTCTTTTCGTAAACAACACTCCATATTATCTTATCGTGGATTGATTGAAGTAAGGCATTAACACAGTCGGATCCTGGTTAAGTGGTATAGATAGAGTTAAGCGTTCGTGCGCGAGATTCAAGGTTCTGGGACCATCCAGTGCTTTCAGGTCTTTAATGGTAGTCTAACATTGATCGGTTCACAATTTTAATGAAAGTCAACAATTCCCACAACTATATAGTGATATCTATTCTTAAGTGGAATATCATTTTTACAAGTACATTCAACTTCCAAAACTGAAATTATTAATGAATTTGATATTCTGAATTGTTTTCGTCTTGATATTTAAACTGTGATAGGCAAAGTGGAAATTCTTATGACGAGGACTAAAACCTCAGGTAAACATCTACGATGCTGGTTCATAATTAATTTCATAATAACAGTCTAGTAGAAGGCAAAGATATACCTGATAGAGATTGTCTGTTTAAAAGGAACCTGCCAAAAAGGGATGAATATACAGTGAATAAAAATATCACGAAAATCTTCAAATATAATAAATCATTTAGTATTGATGTGAAGCAATTGGTGGGAACAATATTTTGACTAACTTCAAATGGATGACTATAAGATGGTATAAGCGAAAGGTAAAATCGACCAGACAATTTCTTTATTTTAGGATAAAGTAATTTAATTATCTTATGAACGCGATGCATACACGGATATCTTAGGATTTCACTGAAAACATAGGCACTTGCACAAAACTATGAAGGAGCACCCATAATTCAAACAACCAAACTTACTTGTCTGTATTCGTTTAATTCTTCCTCCAAAGCAGCCAATTGGGTGCGTAATGTCGCCAACTGCTTACTTGTTTTATCCTGGTTCATAGTGACACGATTACGTATATTACGTGCGCGATTAGCATATTTAAGGGTGTTCAAAGTTTCTAAAAAATCACAATCAGATGGGCTAATACAGGCGATCATAATTGTGCGAGAATTTCCACCTAAAGAATCTTGAAGCAAACGGGTTAATTTAGAGTCACGATAAGGCACATGACAGCCTCGTTTTGTTTTGTCACCCAAAGCAGATATGACATTACCGAGAGCAAGCTAAAAAATAAATGCAAACAATTTAATAAGTGAATGAGACATTAAAATAAATAATCACAAAGGAATAATTAATAAGGCAGAATATAACACAACAGATACTTCAACAGTGTTATAGTACCTATTACAAATATACAGTTATCATTAGAAATTTTTTTAAAAACAACAACAAGGAATCCTTTATTTTCACGAAAATGTTAATTAAAGAACGAACAAAAAATTATCTGACATCTTCAGTACAAACAGGAAAGCAATAAGAATAATAACAACAATAGAAGTAAATAATTATCTTTGAAAAATAAAGACAAATATTTAAATTATTAAACGTCTTAAGAGATGTGCAATGACGTATTAAAAGTTTATGTGAAATAATGAAACTTATGAAAGATAACAACAATTCAGATTCAATAAACCAAGAATATAAAATGATTGATACAACAACTCAGTAAACAGACTATACGCTTGTGCACTGAGCTTTTAAAAAAATACTACTTGGTTGTCCAAATAAAAGATTGTTGTCATAGAATGAAATTCACTTTGTACGATTAAAATTTTAATACATTAATTCATTGTTAGCTTAATTCATGACTATCAAGTGGATATTATAATCACCTAATTAATGCATCAATTGATAAAGTAAGCAAATAAAACTCATGATTAATGAAATTTTCAACGTTCAGAATAACTAGATGTTAAATGAATGAGACATTGATATAAAATAGTGATACATAAAATGCATTGATAAGATTACTCACTACAAAAAAATGTTTTTTTAAATACACCAATAGTTTAAAGTTCAATGATTTCTTAAGCACGAATAAATGTGATGAGTCAGTTAGCTACAGCGTAGGACCAGGCACATATATGCATCGGTCCAAGTTGCCACACCTCATTAACACAACAAGATGAACACCGGATTCATAAAAGTAGTTAATTCAGTTGTGGTAATATATAAAAGAAAGATTGCAATAAGGATATAGTACAGGAAGAAAGAATTAGTTAGTAGAAAGAAAGATATAAAGCAATCTTAATCTCTTAGTTTAAAGGAAGACAGAAAGTGTATACACCAACGCCATTGTGATCGATTCTGAGCTATGTCACCAAGAGTCTCCAACCATTGGTTCCGCCCCCAAATGCCCTGGTACGGCCGAGAGTGGGGAGAGTCCGCTCTCCCTCTCGAAATACTCTCACACGGCTACGCGTATATAGCCTCTGCCAGGGAAGTCCTACTCACTGCCTTCTCGTGGCGGGGGTGTTGTTTACGAAAATGAGAGGACGAAAAGCGAATGTCCGGCGCTTTAACCGGATTCCAAACCAATGGTGCACATGGGCTCCAGTATCCTGCGGGAACAAATGGCGAATGAACCAATTGTTGGTCACCGGCTTCCATGGGACTGCATCTCCTTACGATGCTCCACTGCCTTGTGGATCAGACCTTTGGGTCGAAGGCTCGGGGTGTGGCCCCCTAAGAAAACCACCTGCTTCGGTTTGGGCACCCGGGCAGTATCACAGCCCTCACACATATCGGATGAGATTTGTGTGGCGCTTATGTATTTGGTGCCTCTTTGTACCATTATCTATGTGTTGAAATAAATAAATTATGAATGATCACTAACACTGACCTTGAATGCACTTGGTTGTTTAAGGTGAGATAATAAAATAATTAAGGCAAAAAATAAAGAAATAAAAGATGTATAAGTTTGCCATTTATTATCGAGTTATTGATTAACATAAAGTTAAAAGAGTTAGTGTTAATTATATTAACTTGATAAATTACTTAATTATTCTATGAAAGAAAGAATCAAACGGGAAACAATACATAAGGGAAGTAACCATTCAGTACAGGTTATAAAATATCATTAAAAGATTTGAAAATATTAAAAAAACATTGTTTTAGGAGAAAAATGATTATTTATTCTGTATAATTAAATAATTTCATATTATAATTAGTTCATACAATTAAATTATACGTAAATAACTAAATCAAAGTAGAGAATAGTATAAAAGTAATCTATAAACTATGTTCTAAGTTAATAAAGCAGAGAGAATGAAATTGTGGCTATCTAAGACCTGACCGTTAACCTTTGTATGTAGCTGAAAATCAATTTTTTCTACTTTAAATAAAAAGTTAGAACTTGTCGAACGTGTCCATTATTTAAATTTCTATTGGACAATCATGCATTTCCAGAAAATTCGACAATAACCACCCAAAAACTGATACTTTTAATCTCAATTGTTAAACTTTCTAGATGATGTATGAGTAAAATTGAATCTCCGAGCCTTAAAGTCACATCTTCAATAGTACGTTATCAAGAACACTATAAACTGCATTAGCACATGCAGATTTTCCCCTGTACATTTTTATTTCACGAACTCATTCTTTTTTCCCCGAATCATATTGTATATTTTTAATATCTTTTACTACTACTGGTACTGTCGCTGTTTCTGCTACACTGGAATTTGTCTTGACAATTTCTTCTTACTGTGTTGTTGTTGTAGTATGACAACTTGCATATACACATATGCCCCAGGGTTTAGGTTGCTCATGACTAACGTTTCACTGTTACATTATAGTAAAACTTTATTTATCTTAAAATAATATTGTTTTTTTATAAGTGGACGATTGTTCAGTAAGAGAATTTTGAAGCAGTAACCGGATAATTTTAATGAGATAAAGGTGAATTCATTTTACTTTATTAATTTTTTATCTTATGAAAATTTTGAGGTTCATACGAAAACGATTAAAAAACAACAGGGTTAACAGAATAAACAGGAATTAGAGAACTTTTCCTTTTAAAAAAAGTAGACAGAATCTACCTTGGTAAATAGAGATAATACCATGCAAAATGCTCACGCATTGCTAAATTTAGCAAAAGAATTATAGGATACAAAACTAAGAACTACATATACATTAGTATATGGGTTCATAAATCACAAACGTAAAGTATATACAAAATAACACGCAGTTCGGATAATATCTAAGCTAACCAATTATCAGAAGCAAAATCCAATCTAAATCACTTCCTTTAAGAGTGACCTATGAATGATCCTATCACTTACTAAACCGCGATTGATTGATATACCCTCTTTGGCACGATCGCCAGTAGCACCAGTTCGTTTAAGACGTTCACTGCCAGCAAGGTCGACAAAATGGAATTTTGCAGTTAGTGTTTCATATTCAGGCACTTGGTCAGTAACTGTAGAATTACGATCAGGATCTGCGTCCGACTGAACATCTTTCTTGTGTCCACTGGAATCCTATTGATTTGAAAAAAATTTAATCACACAGCTAATCAATAAAAGAATCAAAATGACAAGTGAAATTTAAGCGATTTATTCCAACACCACGGAATGCTAGAAAAGAATAAGGTTTCACATCAAAACATAAAGATAACAAATAACAACCGTTTAGAAAAAATGACAATCACGAATTATTGTGTAGATCTTGTGACCAGAGCACTCGAAGAAAGCATCATCAAGATTCCAACTGTAGATAGAGGTTATATTCAAAAAAACATTACTATAAGACACTGGGTCAACCAATGAAGGTATTGACCTTTTGCGTTAAAATACATGAAATGAGAAAAATTAGTGTTTGGAGTCCTTAGGTGATATTGAGATAAAGGAATCGTGACGCAAGACAGATTTACACATTCTAAATCTTGAATGTTAGCACCTTTTACTTATTTTTATCTTCGCCCTGGTACGGCATTTTTTTGCACACGTAGTTAATTTACATATCACAGATAGGCTTATTAATATCTACACAAAATTGGATGATTTACAACTAGTTAATAAGAGAATATTTTGTGTTTAGTGATCATTCTTAAGTCGAAAAACAGATCTAGATTTCCGAGATGTCCTTAAGTTACTGTAATATGGCAGGGACATCTCGAAATTCGAATAGTACAATCCACCAACAATCCATCAACTACCCAAGAATTAGTACATACGTGGATTGACTCACGTTGTTCCACTTCATATAAGTTCAAAGACGGCATGAATGATATGGAGTCCAGTTTACAGTGGATAAAAATAATAAATATAATGAGCTGTCTGAACACTTGTTAGTTTGTCATCATAGATATACCTTGAAAGTGAGCAGTGAACAGTAGAAGGCATCCTTTATTAAAATCATAACCAAACACATTCAGTATGATGTTCGAGAATACTCTGAATATCGCTTTAACATAACTGTAACTGGGTTTTTTTACGAAATAGTATGCCAGTATGAAGCTTAGAGAGTCTCTATATCAAATTTGAAAACGATCCGTTATTCATTTATAGCCGTTTATCTAAATGTGTTCAGTCAATCGACTTGAAGGTAGAAATACTCAACTTTTAGCCAATAAGTCGCAGGTTTAAACTTCATTACACCTACTTCAGTTTTAGCATCCAGGTAGTATCCCTAACACTGGTTTAAAGATAAGTACATGAGCCTACACTTGATAAGTGATTTACATTAGATATCAATGTCAATTAAATGAATATTTGAACTCACCTCTTCATATTTTAATAATCTCTGTTGTCTAATGTGCAATGTAAATATAGCGTGGGAACGAGAGGATTGATTATTCATGTTAGTACTAGCTGTACTTCTGATTAGTGAGCCATCATGAAGACATTTTAGGGTCTGAAAATAAAATGGTAGGATATGTTTACATGGTGACATTTATTACGTCATCCTCGCCGTTTTAATAGTAAGGAAAAGTAGTTCTGGAGAAAAAAAAAACTATTTAGTCATGCTAAAACTACATTATACTCACACGCTTCTGTTCTGAACAAATAGACACACTTATAACTTTGCAGAACTCTTCAATACCTTTTAACAAGTTCCCTACTCAGGCACCTGAAACCTACAACTTTGACTATGTTATATTAAGATATGGTTAGAAAGATTCATCTTAGTTTGAATACATAATGTGGCAAAAAATTTATTCATTCAGGTGACCATGTATTAAAATAGTAAAGAAAGATTGGACTATCTAGATAAATGATATGTTAAAGTAGACCGGAAATATGGAAAAGATAGGTTTAGAATAACAAAACATTTACTATTTATGACATAGTGAAGATTTGTAGCTCGGGTGGATGATTTTGGAGTTTTGTTCTGTGAGCTGGATGGTTTGGTCGTGGAGCCTTCATCGTTCTTCTGAACGATGATGTATAATTATGGAAATTCTTATACTACATACGATTGCAAAGCAACTTACCATTTCAATAACTATTTAACTGCGAATGATTCATGACAAAAAACGTGCAAAAACGACGATGCGAATCAACAACCACGTGCACATTATTAATGAACTCTGACACACATTCGGTGAGAAATATTGATTCTGAATGCCAGAACCTAATGAGACTCTAGGCCTTTTATTTGTAAATTGTCAGCGAACTACGACTCCCAACAAGAACTGGATAGTCTTCGCTGGTAATTTTAGAAGTTACCCGCATCCCAAAAGTAAAATTCAGAAAGTGGAGAATGAGAACACTTTAGTAAAACTTACGTCATCCAAATCTGATACAAGTCTAGTAGATACACCAGTCAAATATATATCCCCTTGTGCGTTTTCATGCAATCTTAGATGAGGCTTTTGAATCTAAAAAAGTCGGACCCATGAAATCAAGTATAGATAAAACATTATTATAACAACAGAAGTTGACATCAAAGATATTTACGAACTAAACAAATTTATATAAGATTAACTACCTCAGTCAGTCAGCTACAACGTAGGACCAGGCACATATATACATAGGTTCAAGTTACCATACCTCATTAGCACAAGATGAAAACCAAATTCATAGAAGCCGTTACTTGAATGGTAGTAAAAAAATTTCATGCAAGGATATGATACAGGGAGAAAGAATTAGTTTGTAGAAAGTATAAAGTAATCTCACAGTTTAAGGGAAGACAGAGAATGTATACACCTATGCCATTGTGATCGGTCTAAACTCATTATTACTTACCCGGTGGTCCCAGCAGATGAAAGCAATATTTCCAATACATCTATGATCAATTACTAGTAACTTGTGAGTAATCTTTATCCTTAATAGCCATGTTTCGCAGCCGTAAAATAAAACAGAACTACTGCTCAGTATACTCGTGCCTCAGTTAATAGACGAATATCTCCGCCATAAGTGACGTAAGTTGGCAAAGGCCAAACGAGTTTTTTTGAATTAGTGGAGATTTCGTTAGACACTGACTCATTAGGGCTAATCAGACCTCTAAGATAAGTGAAGATGTCGACGCGTACGATTACTTCACTCCCTACCCACTAACTACCTCAAGAACAAACACATTTAATACGAATGAACTGAATATCCCATACAAATGATGTTAAACACTTTTAGTCACATGTTTCTCTATAACTATAAAGAGACATTTAAGTTTAATACGTCCTTAATGAATAAAAAATAATTGACAGGTAATTGCTTGAAGATATATGTCTGAAAACCGTGATTCTTAGACACCACACAACTGAAATACCAGTTAGGTTGATTACTGAACATTAGTAACAATCAACTTGTAACTGAAGTTTAGTCGTTCGAAGCCCCCAAATGCCCTGGTATGGCCGAGAGTGGGGGGAATCCGCTCTTCCTCTCGAAATACTCTCACACGGCCACGCGTATACAGCCTCTGCCAGGGAAGTCCTACTCATTACTTTCTCGTGGCGGGGGTGTTGTTTACGAAAATGAGAGGACGAAAAGCGAATGTCTGGCGCTTTAACCGGATCCCAAACCAATGGTGCACATGGGCTTAAGTATCCTGAAGGAACAAATGGCGTATAAACCAATTGTTGGTCACCGGCTTCCATGGGACTGCATCTCCTTACGATGCTCCACTGCCTTGTGGGTTAGACCTTTAAGTCAAAGGCTCGGGGTGTGGCCCCCTAAGATAACCACCTGCTTCGGTCTGGGCACCCGGGCAGTATCACAGCCCACACGCAACTCTCTATATCTATGGAAACTACTTTTCTCGCTTCGAATAACAATGAAATGATTCAAATGATTATTATTACTATTATTATTATCATCATCATTATTTACCACATTATTCACCCTCTTTTATACTTATACAGCGGCTTGTCTTTGGTGGAAATTCGACTGTATCTAAACGTTCTCGAGTCATTGTCCGGTTGAAAATTTTATGTTACCACTGAATATGAGTACTGAAGCAGTTTTTCTGAAAACACGTGCACCATTCAAACTGACTGCCTTCAACGTTCGCACACTAATGCAGGTTGGACTACAGATAGGGCTGGCTATGTCTTTAGAAAGTCTTGATATCGACGTTTGTTGTCCATCCGAGACCCGTATTCAAGACTCTGGCGAAGTACTACAAATTCGCTCTCCATCTGTCGATTCAAAAAGCTTGTTTTACGTGCGCTTATCCGGGGACCCTGTGGCATCTTCGTCTGGTCTTGCTGGCATTGGTACCGCACTAAGCGCTAGAGCTGAGGCAGCACTAATCGACTGGGTCCCCATTAACAGTCGGTTATGTGCTGTTAGATTAGAAAGTTCCATCAACGTGAGAAGAAATCGGCGTGAGAAACGATGTCTTTTCGTCATCTCCGCCTATGCCTTGACAGATTGCAGCCCGGATGCAGTTAAGGATGAGTTTTACCACCAGTTATCTGTTCTTCTCCAGAAAGTGCGTTCGACAGATATTGTAGTACTAGCCGGAGACTTGAATGCTCAGGTTGGGCGTCTAGGCACAGAAGAGAGTCGTTTAGGTGACCGATGGGGACTCGTTGGTCGCAGTTCAGATAACGGGGGCACATTTACAATGCTTGTTATGTGAATCAAGTTCATATTCATCTAAATGTAGTTGTTTAAATTGAATAATTCCATTCCCAATCATAGACTCAGGTAGTGCTTACTAAGCCGTGACTAAATATTATTTTGGAATGAACACAACACCAATTGTTTTAATCAGAACCGAAAACCAAAAGCATGCAGAATGAGACTTTAACTTTTCATAGAACCAATAAGTTCTAAATGGATAAGAAACTTTAATACTCAGTCACTTTGACATTAACCATAAAATATGAGAACGATCAGTCAGAAGCTGATTACCTACAGTCCCTTTCTTAGGAATTAAAACGACCTCCTAGTACACAACATTACTTTAGTATTTACCGAGACGTTAAATGAACGAAAGGGAGGGAGATGGGTTCTAATACTCTAAAACAGGGAAACGCTTGAGAACAGATTATAACAATAAACAATACAAAACAGTGTTCATTCAATAAAGAAAAAACTCAGCCACCAGGCAATTGGGTATGAGCTACATGATCTGACCGCTCATGATACTATAGGGTTACTCGAAACGGAAAATAAAGCGCAAGCTAGATTTGGCGAGAACAGAATTCTGTGGAAAAGCAAGGTATAATGTGCAACGAAGATAAATGTGTTCACAAGTAAGGCATACATTTCGCACCGAAAAAATACTGCCCCAAGGCTGGAAGGAGCCTGTGTTAATGTGGCATTGTAAAGAAGTGATGCGCATGTCAGGTTTTATCTTGCATATGAGTGAGCTGGTGTCTGTCATCACCCTCTGTGGTGGACAGTCAGAAAATTTCGGAAAATTTGTATCTGAGTAACTGTATGAGCGATTTGTCGCATGGTGGATGAGATTAACTTATGAATAGTAAAAGACAAAATGTTTTATGTCGATTTGGGAAACTTAATGCTGTCATAATGTAATTCCAAATGTATAAGGTTGGGTTTACAATGCATCAGTGAAAGTGGTCTTGGTTTATGGTTGTGAAACCTTCCTCCAAGCTAGTGGTATTTAATGCGTAATTAGTCATCGTTGTCACAAAAAAAATATTACTGACACCCAGCGGAAACACCATATTAATAATGATGAGGTCTGTTACTGTATCTCAGAACAGTGAAGATAATTCAAACGGTTACCACCTTGAAACACCGACTTTGGTGAACTGGATATAATTTAAAATTGTCATTCCAGTGGCTATTTTATTTATTTATTCCCGATTCTAGGACTGGGTGAAAAAAAGAATAGGTGATTAGTTTATGAGATGGAATTGTAATATGAAAGACAACTGTTTTAGACTGTCATCTATCAGCCCGTCAGGGCTCCCTAGTTGAAGTCCTAGGTATGGTTTAACTCAATGGTTTGAAACTATTAAATATGGTTCGGAATAGAAGCTAGTGATGATCCTCCCATGGTTTTCTATTACACCGAATAAAATTGAAATGAGCTTCCCTAGCTGGAAAAAATATTTCTTGGCCACACTTTTAACTGAACTGCATCTCTTATGAAATACTATTTCTGATTATTCATGTACTGAATATATTGCCTTTCTCTATTTCTTCGCAATACCGCCTCACTTACATGGAGCATTTTACCTGTGCTCTTTTGTACCAGGATTAATACGCACAAATAAAAAACTGCCCGTAAACTTATACTCTAGCACTTCAATACTGAAATTACAACTCAAACATTATCATAAAAACTTACTTTTTCAGAATCAAGTAGATCAACTAACTGTTCATTGTAAAGCTAAAGTTAAAGAAATACATTTAAAACAGTAACTGATATCAGCCCGGCACAGACGTGCGTTGACACGATTTGCCATACCGGGTCAGCATGAGATGAAAATAAAAAGATATTGAAATAATGTACTAAAGAATAAAAGGATTAGAGCTTTGAAATATGCTTTGAGAAGACAGAGCGGACAGGTATCAATGTAGGGATACTGGAATCCAAGATGGAGAAGACAAAGAGTGAATGCGTCTGCGCTATTGTTAGCGATTCTTAGTCATGTCACTCAAAGTCTCCAAATACTAATTAGTTATTTTGCCGACATCAACCAGGTAGTCTGTATCTACCAACACAGCCCAGACCAACAATCAATAAGTTTATGAATTGATGGCTCTTTGGTTTGACCATCTAGTTTCTTCTCAACCTATCTCCGCACTAGCAGGAATCGCTAATCAAGGTAGATGGTGGTTAGTCGTACGTAACATGTCCTGGTGTGAAGATTCTGAAAGCTGTTTGGAAACATGCAAATGTCAACAACATGAAATTTCCGCTTTGTTTGAAAATCTAACAAGTATGCGTCACAGTAAAACTCAGGACAATTCAGCGATGCTGAACTAGTGAATAACCGAATTTTCTTGAAATAACTAGGTGAAAATAACCTAACAGAAAAATGCATGACGACTGTTTAACAAGCACCAGTCTGACACTGACTTACCTTGATTTTAGATGAATACGAAAACATCAGCAAATAAAAACCGAACAAACTTAAGAACTTTGCATGAAGACTTGAAACCTACAGTTCTCATTGACGGATATTATTCTAAAAGTACGAGCCTTTAACATACAGTAGATATGATATGTATCGTACACCATCACTGGACGTCTAAGTTAACTCATTAATAGTGGTGAACGTTGAGTTAGAGATTACATCCAATATTGTACAGGAAATTTCTAAAGAGCTATAAAAAGCCTAGTTCAGTTCTCCTTCATGATTACTTTTGGCACGGTACTCCACTGATGAAATTTGAGTAAATTAAGTCAGAGCCTGAACCAACTAGAGTACTACGGTATTTAAGCACGGCTTTCTCTGTTAAACATCATGCTGTGTTGTATAATGGGTTAGCTCAAATGCCAGTACTAACCCTTGTGGACATTCCTTCAGAGGACACTACTGAGTTCAACAAGTAGCTCTGTTAATTACTTTGGCAAGTACTGTCTAACAGGGTTGAAAGTAAAAGTGATGCGAATACTACTTAACTTCTTAAACTTTGGTAAATGAGCCAACTCTTATTGTTTGGAAGGTGTCCAGATTCATAATGCAAAGCTCAGAATCTCAAATACGACCGAAAGTTTAGATCTTTGAATACATCTAGTTGTGTTTTGAGGTGTGATAACTAGGTTGTTAGGGTGAATTAATTTTGACAGATAATTCATGATAAAACAAAGGGTGCCTATTATCAAAACTCACAAATGATGTGAACTAGTTTTGTAAAATGTGTAACTTAACGAAAACATGGAGATAGACCTACCTCCAAAAACTGCGCCACAACCTTAAATTCAGGAACTGGTTTTTTTTCAGCAGCGGCTTCAGCTCTGCGCTTTGATACACTAGCAAATAAATACTGGACAGCACGCGGAATGATCCCAGCATCCGTGTGGCTGCAGTTGAAATCAAAACCAGTACCCATAGTATATGTTTTTCCAGAACCCGTCTACACAATTAGAAGCAAACGACATACCTGACCATAAGCTATTATTGTTGCGTTATATCCATCCATACAGCTAAAGAAATAAACAGAAACAAGAGTAACAAACCCATCAATCAGTGGCTTTGCCAAGGTTTGGAAGATATGATCCTGACAAGCGTTCATATTGAAAACGTGGTCATAAGTAAACGTAGCATCTTTTCCAATAACTATTTGAGGTTCATTCGAGGCAACTGTAGTACATATATGATTCATTCCAGCTTTCTCCTTAGCACTCTGAGGTCGAATTCTAGGGAGTTATGATTGATCAGAATGTTCCTACCTCACAGCGACCCTGACAGATGTAGAGTCAGCGTCCATAGGTGATTCCGCAGAAGATCTCTGAATTCCCATATACTAAAGTGGAACTATAGATTTGATGAAAACCAAGGTTAGCTGGCGCGCGTTATGTGTTTCTACAAACTTCAAACTACGCTGAAATTTCATGAGGTTAGTCAGGCGATGCCATTTAGCCTAACATAATGCGATTGTTTAGATCCATTTCTAAATCCACTCACTATTCGAATATTAATGTACTTTTTATAAATCTTCGTAAGTACATAAATCAACTATTGCCACTAATTTTAAACAAGCACTACTTTGAACTCTGACTAACCTTAATCTCCGGCAATATGGGTAATAGGTCTCCTTGACCCAGTTAATTCATTCATTACTTCTGTGAATATTTAATTTATTCTTTAAAATCTTCATCAGCTCGGCTGATGCTAGTTCACCTGATCAAGTGGAGCGTTTAAACCTTTGATCATCAGATGGGGAAAGCAACATCTCAATCATCCTTTGCGAACCCTCTAGTGAAGGCTTACAAAGATAATAATTCTGGACTAAGCAAGAATTCATTATGCGGTAGAGCCAAAATTATTCAAGACAGAGTATAGAGATAAGATCTCGCATTCCACGAGGAGTTTTAATCGCCCCAACTGGTGAGACTGGAAAGGCCTACGTATAACTTAGTATCCACTTACTGTAAATGTTCCATGGTGTCATAAGACATGGGCCAGCTGCTTATGCTTAGTATTTTATGTAAGATGTCTCGTAGGTGGGGTGTGAAATCAGAATTATATCGTCAATGAACTTGGAACCTGTACGAAGTGACCGTAACATGTATGACAATTTGGCTACTGCAACTACGTAGTATGTGACTGTTTTCAGGTCGTAAATTACCGTTAATTTTAGTCAATCCTGTACTGGAACTTTTGAAAGTGGACCTCCATTAACTGTTTACCAATGACTGATGTCAATTAACGCACGTTATCCGAGACTAATTGCAAGGCCTTAAATTTGTGACCATCATGTTAATTTATTCGAATCACTGTAAATGTAAAGCGTATTGTCATGCAGTGGCCATTTTTCGTTCTTCAGGGACTATTTGATTGAACCCCTGGTTGTCGTGCATGTTATTTCTTTTGCCTGTATCCAGGTTTCATGAAAAATATCTGCCCATCTCCTTGACTTTACGAACCCTGTTTGGTGGTTTTCATCTAAGTCTGATAGCTCGAATGCTGGTTTCCCCTTCACATCACCCAAAACTGCTAGAGCAACAGTGTGATCTTGAGATAAATGGGACTATTTTGTAATGATCGTGAATAGTAGGGTCATTGTTTGCCATCCTTCAAACTTTCAAATTGTCTGTAGATGACTCAAGTTGCTGTTTAATACAATTATTCTCATTGATAAGATTGAGTAAATCTACGTCCCCTCCCTTCTATCTTTTTAGATTTAAACAGACCTTGTCATTTGAGTTATACCACACTTACTGAGTACGTTTTTATGCAATCATCGCGTCTCGTGTAAGCTACGCCCTTGGTTCATTGGATATGTAGTGGTAGTAGTATTGGTCTTTGACCTCACGATCCTTGAAGTTTGACATAAAATGACCAAAAGGACTCATATTAAACACCAAGCACTCGGAGAAGGTCGAAGATAGTGAACGCGGGAGAGCCTAATGGAAGCGTGATAGCTCAGCCATGTAGGTGTGGTCACTCAATTTAACCTAGTGTTTGTTTATATTAAATATGTTACTCTATACCTATCCCAAGCACATTCTTCAGAATGCCTTAGCAGAAGCCGCTGAATGTCATGATAGAACGAGTCAATATAGATACTTGTGTGAATTCCAAGTAAAATCTGGTAGATTAGGTAGTCACACAGTGGTGAGTCTGTAACAGCATAGGTTGGTTGGTTAAGAGTTAACCTCAAACAACCAAGCATATGCCAAAACAGTACAGGTCAAGTATTCATTCACTTCCTGATTTTGTATATTATATTTCCTATTATCTTATATTGGATGTTGAGAAGCTTTGTTTGTCTGAACAGGTAATCCCACGCTCCACTGTAACTGCGCGAAAATCTAAATAAGGACCTATTCACTACTATTCTGGTTTCTTCTATCAATATCATGAGGGTTATCTACAAGCACGAACACGTAACCGAGGTGGCGTAGCTTGCTCATGTAGGTGTGGTCACTCCATGACACCTCTCGCTTTCGTATCAAATACGTCATTCTCTTCTCAGCACAGACATACTTCACAAAAGATATTATCAGCAACCAATGTCTATCGCTTTAGCGCAGGTCAGTATAGACAGTGGTGTGACTTTCAAGTGAGGTTTGGTACGTTTGTTAGTTACACCATGGCAAATCCACAACTATGGACCAGTTTTAATGATCTGTTGGCACAGATATTTGCACTTATACCGACTAAGACCATAAGCCTATATGTACTCCCACCTTCAATGGACCTATCCTTGACCATCAGTCGCACATTTGAAAGGCAACTTTCATGAAGCGCGCCAACTGTGGTACTGATTAAAACCATCTATATTCATATCTTATAAATTATCAACCCAGCTATGTAAATTACTGCAGTGAATTTTGTATCATTTGTATCAATTTAATCTTGCCTGTAAATGGTATGCCTCATGTAACAAACTGTTATTTGAGAATAAATTATTATTATTATTACTTTACACGACGCGGTAGGGGATAAACTCAAATAATTGTGTAAAAAGTTATGGCAACCGATAGTAATCTTTTTAAGGAGATACTCGCTTACGTGAAAGAGTTTTTAAACTTTCAAACACGAGATTCTTGTGGCCTATCTAACTAAATGAATGAAAAAGGCCTCATAGTCTATACAGTCCACAAACTACTGACAAATCATCTGAAACCTAAGGCTGACCATGCGAAATAAATGTTATTCTATTCTTTCTGGATAGTCTACACACAGTTTTGTTGCGCTTGGTAGTTTTCCTACACCCTTATCGACTTGTTTATTTATTTTCATTTAGATTTGCTTACAGTTTGAACAATTATTAGTTAAATAACTGGGTGATAAAATTTGTTTCGGTAATAACGTACATTTATGTTTATAATGAAATCTAGATCCGTCATTAAACCAATTATAATGTTTTGATTTCAACTGGGCAGTAGAGTGTATCTAAACTAGCTAGACAGTTATTTTTCAGTCCAAACCTTAGTTTGTATTCTACACTAACTCCTTTTATTTTAGAGTTGTTATTGAGTGCCAGCCGTTTAGTCTTCTCTCAAGCGTTTGAAGTTGCGTGTAGTCGATCTGTTTGGTAGAATAGAGAAACCAACATAAGATCGAGAACATGAGTCTAAGACACAACAAGCATATGAGAAGAACCTCAAGATCATTGACTGATAGCTTCGTGACCAATCACAAAGAGCCTGAAACAAGCAAAATGTATTGCTTCATAAGTATGGGTGGGTTGAAATCATCGCCCTTAGCGTCAATATTTGTTGGTCACTAACTTCACCTTTCCTCCCTGATGTTAGGCTCCTTCAAGTTAGTGGTCTGATTCTTACCATGTGGCATCGTAAGTTTTATATTTTACACCCTGCTAGAAAACGTTATATCAATAAGTGCTATGCTACAAAGATGTCCGACAGTTAACCCTTGTAGGCTATCGAAGGACATCGAGACAGCATTACATAATGGCATAGGATAAAATATTGATTTCCAGACAAAATAAGTCAACAGGGACAAACTGGTGAACATAAGGATATGAAAATGCAAAACAGTTTGGGCAATAAATAAGGGAATGAAAATTAGTGGTTGGGTGTACCGGCACACAAACTAGTTTAAATTGCTAAATGCCTTACATGATCAAATATTTTTAGTAACATATTGCAGGGGCACGCAGTACGTGCAACGAAGAAATATGAATTTAATCTGTATGAATTTATCGATACCTTTAGTACAACGTCCTGATTATCTAGGCCATATTTACTATCCAGGACAAATCTTTGAGTATCATAATATACTTATTTAGAAGAAATTATTATTATTACTAAATCCCAGCTTGTTCAGATGACAGTTTATCTATAGTCCTAATGTACTAGAATACATGTGCTCAGGTGTTTGAGTAATGACAGAGAGCAACCATGCATTGGACCAGTCCTGAATTTTGTCTGGATATTTTCGTATTGTGCGGGTGAAATCAAACTGGGACTCGAACAAAATGCACAAACCACTTAATGGTTGTCAGTAAATATAAGATTCGACCAAGCGAAAACCAATCAAAAATGTCATTTATATACATGCTGAGATTTAAGGTTCTGCGTCCGAATCTCACATGCGGGATCATGGGAGCTCACTGCTGAGGAGTCACATGTTGAGGCGAAATGACCGTCCAGTGCTTCCAGGTTTTCAATTAAGATCTGAAATCGATCAGTTCATGATCTCGATCGAAACCTTGACAATCTCCACAACCACATAATAATATATTAAAACTATGCTGACAAAATCAAATGAATGTCTGTGGAAACGCATTCACAGGCAGCTTGCATAGTTATTTTGAATCTCTTGTAAGTTTATCTTTGACCCAAAGAATACTAGAAAGTTAAGATCGAACACAGGCTTTTTTATGAGCAGCTGTTTATAACTATTCTTATTTTGAAGACCGAAATATTTTTGTCTATCCGATTCCTTTGTTCGTCGCAGGTATCTAGTATTGACGAATGTTAACTGGATTTTAAAAATGTCAGAAGAGTCCTGCTAACAGAAAAAACATTTTAGCAACCTCCTTAGCTTGTATTGAAATTTGATAGAAATACAATTGCTATGAGGAAAGTGTTTTTGTCTTAATTGCAGCCATTTATTTCAAATAGCTTTTATAGCTAAACAGAAGAAAAACTACTGTAGTACAGACATAACTTGAAGAAAACATCTAAGCCCAACTAAGACCATGTAGTAGATTTTCAGAGTACGACCAGTAAGTTTATGCAAAGTTTCTGATAGAATCTATCAAAACTTTTATTCTAGTAGTAGTGTAAAAGCATTTTCACTCAACATTATATGTTACAAATTCGTGATCACTGACTGAATATCCAAGACTGACATTTTCGGAAATCACGAGGCCTGTAACCGAAAGAGAACAATGAAAATCCCTCCACAGTATTTTTGTTGGATAGTGCTGTCGTTTACTTGTTCCTTCTACTTGTCTTGTATTTTAACCTTTGTTCAGATCTCTTTTGACCACACTTTATGTTCTTCAGTCTTTCTCGTCTGAGCTTTTATTATGTGATTTTGATTA